GGTGTAAATATTGGGGAGGATATGATAAGTATACTCCTAAATGCAGATGGCATTGTTCTGATTGCTCCAGATGAGAATAGTCTACGGCCCATGTTAGATACGGTGGCCAGATGGTGTTCCAGATGGCTATTACTTATCAATGCTAAGAAGACTAATGTAGTGATTATTCGACAAAGTAACACTCAAAATCAAATGTGTTTTTTACTATTGGTAATGATGCCATTGATAACACCAATGCTAACAAATATTTGGGATCATGGTTTCATGAACACTTGGATTTTAATTATACAGCCAAACAGTTGGCTAAATCTGCCAGCAGAGCTCTGGGTGTTGTTATAAGTAGATTTAAATCCGTTGGTGGAATGGCTTATGACGTATTTAACACCTTATATGGTGACCTTGCGCAGCCTTTTCTGTCTTACGGTTCTGCAATATGGAGCACTAGGGAATTCCGGTGTAATACAATGTCCAACACCGTGCCTGTCGATGTTTCGTAGGCGTAGGTCGTTAGACCCAAAATGCTGCTGTTAGGGGCTGGTTATCATCTGTTACGATACAACGAATCGAAGTGTTACGAGAAAAAGCTGTTCTCCGTGGATTCAGAAAGACGTGTTAGAATTGTTACTGCTTGGTCTATACGTTATCGTATTGTCATTGTCATTATTGAATAACCTTGATATTCACATTTAAGATTTATAAAACATTTCAAACCCCATTTTGATAACATAAAGCGTATATGAATGCAGAAAAATGGTTCAGTGAGTTATGGAACGGCACAGGGAGGGTCAATGGTAATAAATTACTTACCTATTGGTCATTTAAACTTTAAACTTTAAACCCAACAGTTGAACCCTATGTTCGTAATGTACTCAACAGACGACATAGAAGCACCTTGAGTAAGTGTCCCGTGAAGGTCCGGGTTAGAATGTCCCTTCAGTAACCCTTGCCTGTTGTAAGAGGCGACTGGATCCGGTGGTCAGGCTCGCTGACTTGGTTGACATATGTCATCGGTTCCCAATTGCGCAGATCGATGCTCATGCTGTTGATCACTGGATTATCTGGTCCAGACTCGTTTATTTACAGACCGCCGCCATATAGCTGGAATATTGCTGAGTGCGGTGTAAAACTAAACTCACTCACTCACCTTGAATAAGTTGCCATTGTGTCGTCCGCCTATCTATGCGATCTCGACCTTTGGAAACAAGCTAAAAATGCCAAAAGTGCGAGAATGTGAGATCGCGAGAATGTCCCTTACAGTATTCCATACCTATCCCATTACATGAACGAATATATCTGAATTGTTATAGTAATTCTGTAGATGGAATTCATTTCCTTACAACTTGCAGTTTTTATTGTGATATTAGGTATGGAAACTAGCTTCCAGTATGTATTCGCAGTTTCCTATCTTATCCCCATGTGATCAAGCCATTTACTTAATGCAATGTGATTATTTATGTAAACCTCTAGCCGCTACTATTTCCACTATGATTCAATGTAGACAATTTCACAAGATTAATTAACTTCCATTTTAGAAGTATGACTCTTTTGTGATATGATTTTAGCATTTTTGTGATATGTATACTTTAAAACCACGATTTATATTTTAATGCTAATGGAAGACACTCGTCTCGTGCGCCTTTTGGCCGGATATTGCATATTATTTTACTGTTATGTAGGTACCGTGTACTGTGTAATCTGTGACAGGTTAATAAAACAATCTTCTTCTGTTCTTCTGTTTACTCCTCATGTAGAATCTATTCTCCATGAAATGTTTATTCCCCTTGTAGTGTAGCGTCTATTCCCCATGAAGTGTCTATTCCCCATGAAGTGTCTATTCCTCATGTAGTGTCTATTCCCCATGAAGTGTCTATTCCTCATGTAGTGTCTATTCCTCATGTAGTGTCTATTCCCCATGAAGTGTCTATTCCCCATGTAGTGTCTATTCCCCATGAAGTGTCTATTCCCCATGAAGTGTCTATTCCTCATGTAGTGTCTATTCCTCATGTAGTGTCTATTCCCCATGAAGTGTCTATTCCCATGAAGTGTCTATTCCTCATGTAGTGTCTATTCCCCATGTAGTGTCTATTCCCCATGAAGTGTCTATTCCCCATGAAGTGTCTATTCCTCATGTAGTGTCTATTCCCCATGAAGTGTCTATTTCCCATGAAGTGTCTATTCCTCATGTAGTGTCTATTCCTCATGTAGTGTCTATTCCCCATGTAGTGTCTATTCCCCATGAAGTGTCTATTCCCATGAAGAGTGTCCTCATGAAGTGTCTATTCCTCATGAAGTGTCTATTCCTCATGTAGTGTCTATTCCCCATGAAGTGTCTATTCCCCATGAAGTGTCTATTCCCCATGAAGTGTCTATTCCCCATGTAGTGTCTATTCCCCATGTAGTGTCTATTCCTCATGTAGTGTCTATTCCCCATGAAGTGTCTATTCCCATGAAGTGTCTATTCCCCATGTAGTGTCTATTCCTCATGTAGTGTCTATTCCCCATGAAGTGTCTATTCCTCATGTAGTGTCTATTCCCCATGAAGTGTCTATTCCCCATGAAGTGTCTATTCCTCATGTAGTGTCTATTCCCCATGAAGTGTCTATTCCCCATGAAGTGTCTATTCCCCATGAAGTGTCTATTCCTCATGTAGTGTCTATTCCTCATGTAGTGTCTATTCCTCATGTAGTGTCTATTCCCATGAAGTGTCTATTCCTCATGTAGTGTCTATTCCCCGTGAAGTGTCTATTCCTCATGTAGTGTCTATTCCCCATGAAGTGTCTATTCCTCATGTAGTGTCTATCCTCATGTTGTTTATTCTGTACCTATTGTTGCATCTGTACCCCATGTAGTATATGTACCTGAGATAGTGTCACCAGCTATGTCAAAATGTTCAATACGTTTACAAAGTGGCTGAAGTAGATACTTGTTAGAATGATTTTGCTGTCATGTGCACAACTGTGTGTAAGTCCAAAGTCTAAAGTGTCTGTGTACACAACAAGATGAGGTCATGTTCAGGTAGAGCAGACAATATGTACGCATATACATGTATATCCATATATTTAAATGACTGTCGGTTTTCAATATTTGTCAGTATCGTATTTCAGTTGAATGGTTATCCTTGAAGGCTGCTAAGGTACACATGAATGTGATAAAAAATACGAAAGACCAGATTGACCTGGTTGGGGTTAGCATATAGGACCTGGCAGTGGTTGCAACACAGGACCTGGTTGGGGTTAGAATATAGGACCTGGCTGTGGTTACAACACACGGCCTGGTTGGGGTTAGAATATAGGACCTGGCTGTGGTTACAACACAGGACTGACTGACTGACTGAGTTTGGATTTACGCCGCTTTTAGCAATATTCCAGCAATATCACGGCGGGGGACACCAGAAATGGGCTTCACACATTGTACCCATGTGGGGATTCGAACCCGGGTCTTCGGCGTGACGAGCCAACGCTTTAACCATTAGGCTACCCCACCGCCACTACAACACAGGACCTGGTTGGGGTTAGCATATAGGACCTGGCAGTGGTTGCAACACAGGACCTGGTTGGGGTTAGAATATAGGACCTGGCTGTGGTTACAACACAGGTCCTGGTTGGGGTTAGAATATAGGACCTGGCTGTGGTTACAACACAGGACCTGGTTGGGGTTAGAATATAGGACCTGGCCTGGCTGTGGTTACAACACAGGACCTGGTTGGGGTTAGAATATAGGACCTGGCCTGGCTGTGGTTACAACACAAGACCTGGTTGGGGTTAGAATATAGGACCTGGCATTGGTTACAACACATTACCTGGTTGGGATTAGAATATAGGACCTGGCAGTGGTTACAACACAGGACCTGCCTGTGATTACAACACAGGACCTGACTGTGATCACAACATAGGACCTGGCTGTGATTACAACATAGGAGTGAGTGAATGAGTTTAGTTTTACGCTGCACCCAGCAATATTCCAGCTATATGGCGGGTCTTACAACATAAGACCTGACTGTGATTACAACAGAGGACCTGGCTGTGATTACAATATAGGACCTGCCTGTGATTACAACAGAGGACCTGGCTGTGATTACAACAGAGGACCTGCCTGTGATTACAACATAGGAGTGAGTGAGTGAGTTTAGTTTTACGCCGCACCCAGCAATATTCCAGCTATATGGCAGCGGTCTTACAACATAGGACCTGGCTGTGATTACAACAGAGGACCTGCCAGTGATTACAACATAGGACCTGGTTGGGTTTAGACCTGGCTATTATAAGGTCAGTGTTCCCCGAGCCGGTAGGCAAGGCATGACACTGCTACAAAGAGGGGTACATCAGACCATATTACCCGAGGGAGAAGCATACAACGTATTTATCTTACCGCCATGTTAAATGTACAAAATATCATTTATTTTATGTTAAAGATCGCTACCGACTACATGACATGCAAACAAAATGGTGTCTGCCTCTCGACTGGATTTTTAACATCAGTGAAACATATTCTGACAAGCTTAAAACTGCTATAAAACATGTCAATTATGTTTAAGCTGAGTGTGCAAACCATTCAATGTATAAAATAGCTTAAATACAGCAGTGAAAGTCGGTAAAATAAATCTGTACAAAGTGAACACAAAAACAGCTGATCGAACGGTTTCGAACTCCGGGCACTCCATGCATCATATTGTGACATCATACGATTGTTAGCACTTCAGCTTCTCAGCGGAGAGCTTGGCGGTTACCGTGGCAGCTGGTAATATTTTTTCCAATAGAGGGTGACACAGAAACTTGTTAAACCGTCATTGACCAATGAAATTAAAGTATTTACATGGTGGTAAGATAAGACTACAACATTCCACCTAGTTGGGTTACAATACAGGACATTTCCTGATTACAGTAGAAGAACTGGCTTTGGTCCTAATATAGGACACATCTGTGATTTAGTATGAATGAATCACGCCCACTCCAAGATTGATTCCTATTACATTACTCATATACAAACAATATTAACATGGATTAGATCATATGAAATGTTTATTAGGGTCAATAAATAATCATAAAAAACAATGCATAGATTTCATTCAGAGAAGCAATTAGAAGCACTTATCAATGCTGCACAACAGCACCTAGAAATACAGGTAAGTAACATGCCAAACCCTGGGTCCAAGGCTCCCCTGACTTTTCCACATCATAGGATCATCTGACCATGCCCATAAAGGGGGTCACTCATTTTGACAGGAGGGCTTATCTTTGTATGTTTCCTGTCCATGTTTACACTTTCTGTGCCCTTCTTCTGTAGGTTCCACATTAATACAAAACACACTGGTTGTCATAAATACACATCAATAGAATACATGATTTATCTGTAAGATAACCATTGTTCACATGTTTCACACAACATGTGTACATTGTTTTTGAACACTTTTTAGGTGAGAACCTCACTTCCTGGGAAAGTGTTCTGTATTGTATGGACAGTGATGGTAGTTACATACTGTCAATACGGTATTGGACGAAGACTACGAGAGGAACAGGCAACATTGGCATGGATGGAAGAGACTACACCAAATTGGGGGATTTTTTCATAATGGCAGCACACACTGATCAAATATATGAAACTGACAAGCTAAAGTCTTAACTGCTTGGCTACATGACAACACCTGGTTGGAAACAACACAAATATAACAAGGAGAACACAGGTGTTCCATATGATCACAAGGTGTTTCAAGATAAAATACAAACCTGACACTGGAAATGTAAATCCTTAAATTCAGTATAGAACGTCCTTTGGACTATAATCAGGCTTAGTACCATGATAATGACTTGACCTGGAATGAAAAGACTATGATATGGTTGGGAAGGGGTGAACACAATAGACATTACAATGTTGACAACAGCAAAACAGTCATGTACAGAAACAATCTACATAGATCGTTTACACGAACAGCTACTTAGTGAAGGGAAAGCAGTTATGCTACAATGAAATTGAAAATTACTCAATTCTGACTGGTCAATCAGAGGTTAATAAATCACAATAAACCCCATCTGATTGAATCAGAATCAGTCAGTTTGATTGGAGTTTCAAATATGTGTAAATCTCCAAACACATAATTCTACTGGTAAATTAGAAGGACAAGCAGGTGCAGCTTAACTAAAGGGGCATCATCATTTGCCCTCAAGTCAACACAAACAGGACAGAAATCACACAAAGACAGTTATAGGGGACGGTTATCAATAAAGAACTAAACTCCCTCATCATCTATCAGTCTATCAATCAACACAGGTTTTATAATCAATGAATGAAACTCAAGAGACTGACCAAATAAGGAATATTTTAAAGAATATTCTCACAGAATATAAAAAATGTCTGTGAATTAATTACACTTATTCCTGCAAATAACTAAACAGCTGTTTAATCAGTGTATGATATAAGGCCCGCCCGTCCGACCGCCCGAGACGGGCTAGATTTCTGACAGATGGTCAAAATTTACAGCTAGCCTGTCCGATGCTCTGGGAAAAAATGTAAGATACATGTTCCATGCATCTGAGTAAATTCACCATATCTTAAAATCTATTTTTCAAATTAAGCGTTACATTTAGACGCACTGAGTTGACATATATTATCACTAAAACAGCCACAAAACAATAACTTAAATTTGAGTTATTCTCTTTGGTTTGTCTGGTCGGGTTAAATCCATTTTGACATTTTGAAGTTACCAGCCCAGATGTCGGGCTGGGATTGTGGCTTTTGGCAGGGCTGAGCAGGTTAGGCGGCTGACTTTGTGTGCTGGCGATTAGGTGACTGACTGACAAATTTTATTTGTTTTTCATAATCAGCAATGTATATTATATGTCATGAATAAATGATAGTTGTGTCTTAATTACGTTAATTTTTTTGGTTGCATGTGACCTTTAACAATCCGATTTTGTTGAGGTTATCACGACAAATGTATGGCATTGAATGCTGCACACAGAAATATTCAAGCTATATGACAATATCAAATAAGTCTCACCCACACGCAAGAGATCGATATTATCAACCGACTCACAAGTCGGAACTCCTGATCTGGAAAGTTGTTTTAAATGAAGCAACCCAGAGGATGGAAGACATAAAAAATCTCCTCTATGTTAGACAGAAGAGGTTCAGTATACAGGAGTGAGTGAGTCTAGTTTTACGCCGCACTCAGCAATATTCCATCTATATGGCGGCGGTCTGTTAATAATCGAGTCTGGACCAGACAATCCGGTGATCAACAGCATCAGTATACAGGAGACAAACATCCTACCGAACACAGTGTACAGTCTGTTTCACATATACAACAGCATTTACCACTTTCTTAACCCACAAGCAAGTATGATATGTGACAAGGATCATACTCAAGATACACCTAGGATTCAAACCCAGAAACATTGGATCACAGTATGCATAAGGGAGACAATTCAGAACAACAAACTTTATAGCTAGCTGAGCTCCCCATGCATTTGGCAGTGGACATCAGTGGAAGGATAAATCACACATATGTTTTCTTCATCATTCATTCAATTAATTGACAATTTAAAAGGGGGCAACAATTCACTGAAGCACAGATTAGCACATTGTAATATCAATCCCATCTGGAGATCTAAACAAGCTCTTCTCAAAACAGCACTAAAACTTTCACTCACGGAGGAAAAGGTCATGACAAATTAAGACAAAACTCAACAAATGAAAAATTACAACCATGAATAAGAACACACCGAAAGGGCTTCATACAAAACGAAATATATGAAACAAGTTAAAAAAATGCAAATATGTTGTTGCATCTCCGCTTAATTCTATGAATCCTTTTACTACAGGTTTTGACCAGTGGTAACCATGGTAACCCTGCAGGATACTATCATACAGATCACAACCAATGAAATAACAAGTAACACGAAAGACCAGGGCATGTAACACAAGATATCAAAATGCACAACCAGAACTGCCAATAAAAACAAGCTATAACATATATACACTCTTGATAATAAATACAATATCGGTATATTATGATATCATCAACACAATTCAGGAGATCCATCAGTGACACAACCATTGTTTGGATATCATATATCAACAAAGAAATTAAAACACTTTCAACTCACTCCCAATTTCACACTGCTAACTTCATATGAAGGTGATTCCTCTGTGAAATCCACAAAATCATTCAACACTATAATTAGCATAATTACATGGTAATTAGCACTTAATAAATTCCTCATTCTGAAATTGAAACACCAAATACAAAAAAAAATCTAAAACCAAAAACATTTTCTGCATTGTATCAGACCAGTCTTAGTGAAAGGTGTTGGAAGTCACGTCTTAAATAAGTCTCATGCAAGTAGGATCAAGGAGATCTTGGGTAATTCCCTCAATATGATCAGCTTTTGCCGAGGCCAGCAGTATTCCACTTCTAAAACCACTGTAACCAGAATCCTGTAATTACTAAGGACAATATTTTGGCAAACAGCCATGTGTTACACGAAGATCCAGCTATTACTGATTCTGTACCTGGTCAATCGACCAATGGTAATGCTAGGATACAGATATGATTGACTGAATCCACTTCCTGACACTGCCAATGTTGGCAAACCTGTTGGGCTGGGAGGAGGGTGTGTCCTCGCAGGAGCTCCTCCCGCTGCTCATCACCCCCGCCAACACCCAGCCACTTCCTGCCTTCTCCTGGCACATCAAAGGCCCTCCACTGTCACCCTGGCAACAGAAACTTCAACTGTGACACAATGATGGAGAATATAGAACCTGCCGTTTCATTCTTAGGGTCTGGGTTCAGGGATGCGAATGAAGAATGACATAAAGACTGAAGACCCGGGGCGAGGACTGTAAGCTCCCGACCCGGTCTAGTACAGAGCAATGCTGGGGCACCATGGGGGTCATAAAAATGACAGAATTCTGGCTCAATATATCACATAACCTAACACGCATTTCTTATTTTAGTATCAGTGTTTTTAATGTCCAACACAGAAGTGATATGACCAGTTGATATACACCTCACTGACTGAAGAACAACAGATAGTGGCGTATGAAACTGACTAATCATATATAAGATTAGAAAATGTTATGGCTTCCTGCAGGGAAGGAGGAGTGGTTTCCACTGTAGACATATCAAAGAGCCTCAATTCTCGATGTGATAGGACTACCAATATTGAGACTGATGTGTTGGTAAGTTTTCACATTGTGGGTGAGAGCCTTACTTGACAGCCTGCAGGGTGGCCGTTCAGGTAGCCAGCACACAGGGTGAAGTTGTTGCTGTCCACACACCCTCCATCATCCCACACCATCATCTTCGCATCTCGCAACTTCTCTGGTGGTAAATCTGAAATAACAGTTAGGCAGTCTCTCACTTCCTGATAAATAAAGACCCAAGAGGGATTTTGACAACCAAAAGTATACTCACATTGCACACTGTTGTCTAGTCCAACACTATACTCACATTGCACACTGTTGACTAGTCCAACACTATACTCACATTGCACACTGTTGTCTAGTCCAACACTATACTCACATTGCACACTGTTGACTAGTCCAACACTATACTCACATTGCACACTGTTGACTAGTCCAACACTATACTCACATTGCACACTGTTGACTAGTCCAACACTATACTCACATTGCACACTGTTGACTAGTCCAACACTATACTCACATTGCACACTGTTGTCTAGTCCAACACTATACTCACATTGCACACTGTTGTCTAGTCCAACACTAACACTATACACATTCACACATTGCACACTGTTGACTAGTCCAACACTATACTCACATTGCACACTGTTGACTGGTCCAACACTATACTCACATTGCACACTGTTGACTGGTCCAACACTATGACTCCACACTTACACACTGTTGACTGGTCCAACACTATACTCACATTGCACACTGTTGACTAGTCCAACACTATACTCACATTGCACACTGTTGACTGGTCCAACACTATACTCACATTGCACACTGTTGTTGACTAGTCCAACACTATACTCACATTGCACACTGTTCCAACACTAGTCCAACACTATACTCACATTGCACACTGTCCAACACTATACTCACATTGCTGACTAGTCCAACACTATACTCACATTGCACACTGTTGACTACATTGTCCAACACTATACTCACATTGCACACTGTTTAGTCCAACACTATACATTGCACACTGTTGACCAACACTATACTCACATTGCACACTGTTGACTAGTCCAACACTATACTCACATTGCACACTGTTGTCCAACACTATACTCACATTGCACACTGTGACTAGTCCAACACTATACTCACATTTGCTGTTGACTGTTGACTAGTCCAACACTATACTCACATTGCACACTGTTGACTAGTCCAACACTATACTCACATTGCACACTGTTGACTAGTCCAACACTATACTCACATTGCACACTGTTACTCACATTAGTGACTAGTCCAACACTATACTCACATTGCACACTGTTGACTAGTCCAACACTATACTCACATTGCACACTGTTGACTAGTCCAACACTATACTCACATTGCACACTGTTGACTAGTCCAACACTATATACATTCACATGACTGCACACTGTTGCACACTGTTGTCCAACACTACTACTCACATTGCACACTGTTGACTAGTCCAACACTATACTCACATTGCACACTGTTGTCCAACACTATACTCACTGCACAGTCCAACACTATACTCACATTGCACACTGTTGACTAGTCCAACACTATACTCACATTGCACACTGTTGACTAGTCCAACACTATACTCACATTGCACACTGTTGACTAGTCCAACACTATACTCACATTGCACACTGTTGACTAGTCCAACACTATACTCACATTGCACACTGTTGACTAGTCCAACACTATACTCACATTGCACACTGTTGACTAGTCCAACACTATACTCACATTGCACACTGTTGACTAGTCCAACACTATACTCACATTGCACACTGTTGGTCCAACACTATACTCACATTGCACACTGTTGACTGGTCCAACACTATACTCACATTGCACTGTTGACTGACTAGTCCAACACTATACTCACATTGCACACTGTCCAACACTGTGCACACTGTTGACTAGTCCAACACTATACTCACATTGCACACTGTTGACTAGTCCAACACTATACTCACATTGCACACTGTTGACTAGTCCAACACTATACTCACATTGCACACTGTTGACTGGTCCAACACTATACTCACATTGCACACTGTTGACTAGTCCAACACTATACTCACATTGCACACTGTTGACTAGTCCAACACTATACTCACATTGCACACTGTTGACTAGTCCAACACTATACTCACATTGCACACTGTTGACTAGTCCAACACTATACTCACATTGCACACTGTTGACTAGTCCAACACTATACTCACATTGCACACTGCACACTGTTGACTAGTCCAACACTATACTCACATTGCACACTGTTGACTAGTCCAACACTATACTCACATTGCACACTGTTGACTAGTCCAACACTATACTCACATTGCACACTGTTGATTAGTTCAACACTATACTCACATTGCACACTGTTGACTAGTCCCCATCCAGCCAGATAGCACAGGGAGGGGTATGTGTAGGTCTGTCCTTCGTAAGGCAGACATATTGGCTGTATGTAGTCTGTGAACTCCACAGGTCTCTCCAGCTTCACCAGGGCCATATCCCAGTCCAGGGGCCGGGCTGCGGTGAAGTTGTAGTGGTAGGTGATGTTGGCGGCACGTACTCTCACTGCATGGGCTGACCTGCCTTGTCTGTCCACAGTGCCAAGGAGAATCTCCAGGTTTGAGAATGTTGTCACGTAGCTAAAATGACCTGGTCTGAAAGATTTCACAGCTTATAGCAGATTTTACTCACATATATGTTCACTCAAACATATGTTTGCACTGATTGAAGAGTTGTTGTCACCGAAAGTTTGTATCAATAATTGACACTGGATTTTTCCCAGGTAAGGTATGACAAAAAACATATTTTTGAGGTTCTTGTCTATACCTACGGGCTTACACATATTTGTAGAACTGACACATATTCTTAGAATTATCAATTTCCAACCTCAAGGTGTTGCAACCAAACACAATTTCAGCAAATTCAACCACAGCATGATTACACCATCTCATGTTCAATTACTCTGGGCTACACATTGTAAAAGTGGATATATTCTTGCAACACTTTTCGCTAGCCATCATAAGCATAAGCTATAGGTTCTAGGTTGCCCTGCTGCCCTAAAGCTGGAGCCAGCTTCCTGTACCTACCTGCCATCTACCCTTTACTGAGACCCATGCTATACAGGGATTTACCTGGGTCTATGTTCTATATAGTAGGGTGGATGGGTGCAGGTCAAAGACATGAACGTGGGTCCAGCAGGTGGTGACATTTTATGCTTTCTTTGACTTCCAATAATTTTATTGACATCAGAAGCATATCAAAAGTGGGGATTTAAATGTAAGATTAAGGAAATTTTGATATTGCCACCCTCAGTATGTTGCTCACAGCTATGAAATGTCACATATGTGTAGCATACAATTGACAACTTTGGAATATTTATCGATTTCAACCAGTGATTCTTTCTGTGAGTGAGTGAGTTTAGTTTTACGCTGCATTTAGAAATATTCAAGCAATATCACGGCTGGGGACAACACACATTGTGCCAGTCTTCTGCGTGACAAACAAACGCCTTAACCACTAGGCTACCCCACCGCCACTGATACCTTATGGTGTTCATCCTTAACCATCTCCAGAGCATCATGAGTCATGAGCTAATGTATAGTATAATTCTATATTAATATTAGTCCATATTTAATAGTTCACTTATATAGCGCCATTCAAGGATGAATATCTTGCTCAAAGCGCTAAGAAGGAAAAGGAGAATAGGAGAATCTAAATAGGTACGGAAAAGGAGAATAGGTTGGAGAGGTACGTAGTTCTTGAGGGAGAATGTTCCACTGATAAGCTGCTGAATGGGAAAAAACCCATTGTCCATAACTGCACAGTTTGACTTTAGGCACAATGAATGGCTGTTGAGATTCTGAGCGGAGTGATCTGGATGGAATGTAGGGCTGGAGGAGGTGACAGAGATAAGATGGAGCAATATGAGAATGACACTGATAAGCTAGACAGAGAAGTTTGAAATTGACTCTCTGTTGAACAGGAAGCCAATGAAGTTCTTTGAGGATCGGGGTGATATGGTCTGATTTTGGGGAGAGTGAAACATGTCTGGCTTCTTTGCTCTGGATTGATTGCAACCTTCTGATGACATTTTTTTTTAGATCCGGCTAGGAGGCTGTTGCAATAATCTATCCTTGAAATTATTAGTGAAAGGGTCAGTGTTTTCGTAGCATCTTTAGTCAGGCATGCTCTAATTTTCCCAATTTCTGCAAATATTCATCCTCTCCAATCTGCACTTTTAAAACAATCCAAATCACCCTATGAGAACTTCTCGTGTGTAATGAGTTATTCACTTCCATGTTCCAACTATATTCTCACCTTGAAGCACAGTGTCCTGCAGTGATCACCCACTGCTTGTTGATGAGAGCACCTGCACATTGTGCAGAGCCCTGGTAGGAAAGGGAGACAACCCAGGGCCATTTCCCTTCCTGTGGTATGTTCCCTCCAATAACATATGGAGTGATGATGGTGGCTTTTCGCTGTCCACAATCTGTACATGACAAGATGGATATTATATGAGATTACATCTGTTTATGCAATGGATAATGGATTTATGTAACATGCTGACAGGATAAAAACAACAGACAGAACCTTGATTCCAAATTGTATACTGTATTAACATTTGATAAGGTTCCTATACAGCATAAAACATGTGTACCACCCACTCCTTCAAACCAACAGTACAAGGAGTAATAAAAACACTCATAAATCAATGTTAAGTTCCAAATATTCCACACACGTGAGGATTTATCTAGGATTCCAAACTAAGTGCCCTGGCAGGATATATGGAGAAACAGTCCTAATTTTGTTGACAACAGGAATTTATGCAAATTCTCATTTTTGTAAATTTCAGATGTAATTTGACATTGTATATTACCTTTAAATCTTTACTACAAAGAAACCTCACTAATCATTAAACTCCCTTCACCTGCTGGTTCTGTCATCTGTGAAATATGTGTTTTCTACTCCAAGTTTGGCTAGGTATTAATATTATGGTCCAGTATCTTACAGGAATGAACCTATATTTCAACCTTCTCTTACAGTGAAATATTTGGTCAATTCTGGTTATTAACCAAACCAAATCTGAAGCCCCCAAACCCTGAACATGTTATGATATGTTGCCATGCATCTCTTATCAAAATCCCATATCACTAACATTTTATGCAATAAGCGTACAAAGGTTGCACTTCACTACACAAAACCCACTAATTAATAATAGAAAAAGAGAATACCCTGCATTAAAAACTATCGTCTGAAATCGGAAAGGCAGATTCTTTTGGCATTACAGTGAAATGCTTGATTGTTTTGTAACAATTGTGGAAAGTTCATCCCTGAAAGTCTGAAAGACACTTCATTGTGTGGCATTTAGAAGTTGGTGTGATGAACAACGGGGAGAGTTCTATGGGTATACAACTTCATTATTATTATTGTAAGCTACATTTCGATGTAATTGCTAACACCTACCGGTATATGCATCTACACCAAAACATTGCTTACATTAATAAACTAGAAATTGGTTTTACTCATAAAAACAGATGTCTCCCCCTTCCCCCAATTCAATATTGAGACCTCAAACAATTCATTTGAATCCTTCAATTTCAAAATCTCTAAGTATGAAAAGCAAATAAAATAAAATTGAAAGAAAAGTTCAAAGCCCCAAAAGGCACATCTCTACATGATATGGAGGGGCAGTATAGCAAATATGGTGAAGATGGGTTGTTTAGCTTCAGAATTTGGCTCCGGAAACAAACTTTACCCTTCAAAAAGACAAAGTCCAAATTGTTGCAATGAAAACAGAAAAAATAAATTGAAAACACCTCAAACCCCCAAAAGGCACATCTACATGGAGAGGCAGTATAACATATACTGAGTCAAAAAGAAACTTCACAAAATGTAATTTGAAAAATAATGAATAATTTTTCTCTGATGATACATCTATGTTTCAGAAATGGGATCCCTATCTGTCGACTCTAGAAAAACGTTAGCAAAACCCACTCAAACCCATCCATTCGTCGTGCAAATGACATTAGTGCCAAATCAGGTTTTGTACGTGCAGTCGATCACGTGATCTTCGCATCGAAGTTTTCTTCATATGCACGTGTTTGCATTGGCCTCAAGAATTGAAAAAACACTTTTAAACCACAGTTCTAACAGTACTTGAAATGCCACGATTGTCAAATGTGCAATGTGAATTTGCCGCATGTTGCAAGCAGGAAGATCAGTTATTGACGTCGCAAGAGCAATGGGATGCAGCCGTCGTACTGTGTATGACTTGCGAGGTCGTCTACAACAAACTGGCACCACTTCTGATCGCCCAAGGTCGGTCGATCCACGTGTGACGCCACGAGCAGAAGACCATCAAATCGTCCTACGTCACCTACGTGACAGATTTCTGCCGGCTACACGAACCAGGGCTGAGATGTTTAGAGGTCGACTGTCCTCAAAGACCATTCGAAATCGGTTGCGGGCTGCCAATCTCTATTCTCGACGTCCATATCGTGAGCCAATATTGACGCCGTTTCATCAACGTCAACGTCTGCTGTCGGCCCAACGTCACCTCCGATGGACCCAGAGAGACTGGAATCGAGTCGTCTTTAGCGATGAATCCAGGTTTACCCTCAGATTCGCGGACCGCAGGCATAGAGTCTGGAGACGACGTCGTGAACGGTATGCCCAATGTTGTGTACAGGAAGTCGACAGATTCGGGGGCGGAAGTTGCATGGTGTGGGGTGCTTTCTGTGGGAACAACCGTCCCGACTTCTGGTCATCCGTGGAAACCTCACAGCTGCTGCTTACCGCGACCAGGTGCTCACCTCTGAACTCGTTCCTTTCATGGCGGCTCATGGCCCAGGTCTACAGTTCCAGCATGATAATGCTCGGCCACATACCGCGATGTTGACACGAAATTTCCTCCAAAACGCTGGAGTCAACGTCATGGACTGGCCATCGAGGTCCCCTGACCTTAATCCAATAGAGCACGTTTGGGATGCACTTGGGAGAAGGCTTCGTGGTCTTAGGAACCAACCTCAGAATTTGCAGGAACTTGGCGCTGCCTTGCAAGAGCAATGGCGCAGAATCCCCAACCACGTGTTCACAAGCATCAGGCAGTTGATGTGGAGACGGTGTTTGGCAGTGGTGAACGTGCAGGGCGGCCATACACGATACTGAACTGAGAAATTTCGCATTTTTATTCTTGTGACTTGACATTCTGTATACCCATGTTTTGGAACGGCGGTGTAGCCTAATGGAACTGATTATGGCACTATCAGTGTATCGAGTACATCACAGATCTCAGCAATGAAATAATAACAATTTAACCATCTTACCATCTCTTGTTCTTTTAGAGTGCCCTGAAGAAAGAATGTGAAGTTTCTTTTTGACTCAGTATATTTGGTGAAGATTGTTTCAAGTCGTTTTAGAGTTATGTTCCGTAAACAATGTGAACGCCGATGCCGACGCTGATGGAAACTCAACCCAAAACAATGTTTCCCAACCCTCAGGGGAGACATAAAAAGAAGTTTTATATCCATAAAATTTCCCCATTGAAAGACGTTGTTGTATTCTTCTTTCTGAGTAGAGGATGATCCACATGTTTAATCACAAGTTCTGAAAACATCATAATGATCAAGTGTAATACTTGTAAGAGAAACGACCTTTTAATAAAATACATGTCTTAACAACTAGACATCCAAATGACAAATAAACACTGTGGTTGCATCTACATTTGTACATGCCCCACAAAGAGAGGTACCACATATATAATACACAAGGAGGTAGAATGATTTTACAGGTGCTTCTTTAACAGGTGAGAAATAAAGAGTTCTAACCTTGCTGTACACAAGACAGGGCTACAGTCGTCAGTGATGGACAGGCAGACCTGCATGCAGGGAGAGAGAGAAAAGTACAGTCACATTCACACTATAGAAGCTCTTGATCAGCCACAGTCTCACTATATTCAGATGGAAACTCAGGAATAAGGGACCGTTCATAATGTATGGCTAGGTGGGGTGATGATGATTTTAAGGGGATGGGGGTGGGGTGTCACCCATTTTGTTCTAGGGAGGGGCAGCGGTGGTGGGTGTCATCAATTTTGTACACATGAACTAGTGAGGGTCATCAATTTTGTACATGAAAATATTTTGAAAATATGCTAAAAATTATGGGAAGGGGTGGGGGTGGGTGTGGGGGTGGGCATTGATTTTGTACATGACATGCAGGGCGGGATGACTTTCTTTAGGTCATTCTCATTGTACATGCTTCACAATAAAAATCATCATCAGCCCCCCTAGCCATAAACTATGAACGGTCCCTAACATTCCCACAAGTGCCAGGCCAAAGACATATGATTCTTTAGAAGAACATAGCCACATTCACACTATAGAAGCTGTTGATAACATTCATAGAAGTCTTGGGTACAGTCACATTACAAACACTGTGTCCTTGATAAAACTCAGTGAGAAATTTGTTTCAGTCATGTATCAAGTCTGTTCAGGCAAGCCGATGACTAAAAGCATGAGCAACAAAAAATGCCATCACGATCAACGACGTCCCAAGTCTGACAGAATCACACAGAACAGCTATTTTTAAAAACATAATATTCTTTAAACTCAAATTATGAAATCTGTCAACATCAATTGGAGATTTTCTAGACGACAGCAGCTTGAGTTTGTTGTACAATTTCTCCTAATCACAAACTAAACTGACAGCCATGCTGTGACTAGGCTAAGAAAAGCACAAGTATCCAAGAATGAAGAAAAGCACAAGTATCCAAGAATGACGCTGCCATTCATCCTGTACAGTTCTATCACTGGGTCTGTTGTCTGACGTCAAGCAGGCCACAGACATTTACCACATCCGAGAAACCCTCAAGCACAGATATAGTGCATGTTATGATCATGATGAGGGCTAATCTGAGATTTAAACCCACCACCAACGGATCCTGGATCAGACAAGCGAGGCAAGTCCTCTGGAAAGTGTGGTACCTTATCCACCTTTTTCTATGACAAACTGAGCAAAAATCATAAAAACAAGTAATATATTCATGAAAACATATTGTCATGGTGTCTGGCATAACTACATGTTTCTTGTGAATGTAACACCACCATAACAACACATACAGTCAGTTTCACTTGCTTGAATTTACTTCATAATTCAGGATACCAGAATAATTTGATCTGTTACATACAGGATCTGTTTTTAATACATTTGTGAACATGTCAGCTTGATGTAGGAGGAAAGCTTTAGTGATGCTTGACTCCGATGTTTTACGGTGAAACCTGCAAGCTTGGTGGGGCAGTGACAGTTTGGGTGCATCTCGGATTCAAACCCTTCTCCCAGTCACCAGGACAGCAGTGGCAAGGATGAAAATCAGGAGGGTTGACAGTGCGAGACAAAATTGGCATTTATGTTTGTAGGGAGAATATTGATATATTGACTTGTGATTTACATAAGAACCAACTACTGTGGCAGGCAGGGATCTCAGGTTTGCAAAACTTATGAGTTATCTCCCTTATAGTTTGGATTGAATTGAGAATACAGCACATACAATACAGGTCAGTAAAAACGGCAACGAAAGACTATGAAACTGCAATATGTTTACATCAGCAAACTTTGACCTCTACTGCGCATGCGCGTTACGATCTGACCTGGAAAACTATTTCCGAGCAACCGTGAATCACCTCGCGTAGAAAATGTATTGAATATGTCGAAATAATTGCTGTCAATCAATTCATATGAATGGAAAGTAAAGTAAACAAGTGTGCACATAAGTATGTCGATGATAAATGACAAATAACACAATACAAATCAATACACAATACCCTCATGTTTTGTCCAAGCTGGTCAATGTCAACATGCGGTTAAGACTTCCTCTTCCATGTGCGCATGTGCAAAAATCGCTCTTTGTTTTTTTATCCAGGTGTAGCAATTTAAAGTTGCCGTTTTTACTGTTTCAGTAGTGAGGTATTATGTTTATTTTGCTATTTCCACGATTAATGTGGGCTTTTCTGCGTTTTTCTGCACAGTGGGAAAGTTTTCTCTGGTAGGCCTGACATATAGGAACATCTTTTCCCACAGCTGATGAAATGTGTAGGAAGTGTGGACAAGGGGCCCTATGTAGATAGTAGGCTGACTGGGAATAAACTTTCAGAAGACAAAGTGTACACAACTACTGTGTAAACAATTTGTAGACAGGTGTAGACAGTGGGCAGTGTGAGTGAGTGTAGACACTGAGTAGACAAAGTGCAGACAGGGTGTAATCATTTTGAAGTCAGCGTGAAGACTGTAGGCAGTGTGTACCTTTGAGTGAAGAAAGTGCCCAGTGGTTGATCTCGACTCAGCTTTGTAGCTCCTGGCTTCAGGAGAAGGTAGGCAGCATCAGAAGAGGTGTTTCTTACTTCCTGAAAGCTTGTTGACTGATAGGACCTGTTACAACACAGCATCATGACACAGTAGTCCATACCGATGACAGCATCCAGGGTCCCGTTTCACAAAGTGATTGTAGCGCTACGACTCTTGTAAGTCTATGTTAAACTATAGGAGTTACGACTGTCGTAGTGTTATGACCAGGGAAACTGGACCCAGGTGCTTAAATTTCTATAGGATGGTACATGTTTATTACATATAGCTCTAGACGAGGTGTGTAAACTAGAATCTAAGGCTGCCAAGGGTATAGAATATCAACCATATTCTGATTAGGATTGATTCCATATGGGTTGAGGTAAAGGAGTCATCTTACATGTCTAACTCTTGACACAGGAAGTTGCTGTTCGCATCCGTCCACTCATCGCCACACACCAAGAACCGAGCCTCACCCTTCTGTATGGTGAGTTCGGTTGGAACTGTTGAGTTGGGGTTCTGTAGATGTACTGGAAGATTTAACATTAACAATGGAGACACAGACATCAGTGCAATATTTCAGTAATTCTCACTGTGGGATATATACTGAGAGAAACAAATAATGGATCACAGGAAAATTCAAGCATTACTTGAATATGTTCCAGTTTTTAATACCAGCTTTGAATAGCGCTGTGATGAAAACTAGAAAATAATAATAATGAGTGAGTGAGTGAGTTTAGTTTTACGCTGCACTCAGCAATATTCCAGCTATATGGCAGCAGTCTGTAAATAATCGAGTCAGGACCAGACAATCAAGTGATCAACAGAGCAATCACAATTGGGAACCGATGATCAACCAACAGCGAGTCTGACCGATCCCGATCCCGTTACGAAGTATACTGAGATCAATATTCACCCGGACCTTCGGGTAGGAAAATAATAAAGGAACACTTGAATATTCCTGTGATCCTTTAATTGTTTCTCTCAGTATATTTAATGATTCATTCTTACTGGCTTCTTCATTCCAGTTTCACAATATGAATAAAGACAGCTACACCAATGTGATGTCATATGAATTATCATGGAAAATAATTGATCTGTTGTTCATGACATTATGACAAGAATATCATTTTCACAATAGGCCAACTGAGTGACTGAGTGTGCATGTATGATCACATATTACTACAATACATACATATTACCACAATACACTTTTTCAGTATTCACCTGAAGACAAACAAGAAATAGCATTGTTACATACAATAAAGAAGTTGTTATCCACAAGAAATATACCAGTACCTGTATTTTTGTAAACTGAAATGTTCCTTGATTTAAATAAATAATATAGAATCTGATATTGATGATATTGTACATTGATTGTCAGCTCTTACAACCAACAAACAGTGCCCAATTATTCCTTGACCCACATCTCATAACAAGTAACAACTACTGATGAGTGCATCAGGAGATATTTTGAGAGGCAGTCAGTCCCCCCTGACAAAACAAGAGTCATCAGAAGATGACATATCCCCCCGGCCCCCACATATTTTAAAGAACAAATCATCTGACAGTTACTTAAAGTCCAGCTTGACTTTTTTCTAAACTATGTCCAAATCGTTTCCATGGAGATCATGAGAAATATAAATGCCAAAAATCTGTAAAAAGCAAAAGGCACCATTTCAAAATTTGCCTAATATATCTGCCAAGTTCTGTTAAAAGATACTGAACGCTTTTCGAGTTGTGCACCGGAAACGAAGCCCACCCTCCCTTTTGGGACTAAGTCTAAATCGTTTCCATGGAAACCGGGAAAAATAAAAATGACAAAAATCAGCAAAAGGCACCACTTAAGGTTCTGTTTGATATATCTACCAAGTTTTGTTGAAAAATATTGAACGTTTTTTGAGTTATGCTCCGGAAACGAAGCCCACCCCCCTTTAAGACTAAGTCCAAAACCCCATGGAAACCAAGAAAAATAAAAAGGACAAAAATCTGTTAATAGCAAAAGGCACCACCTTAGGTTCTGTTTGATATATCTACCAATTTTTGTTGAAAAATATTGAATGGTTTTTGAGTTATGCTCTAGAAACAAAATGATTACAGACGAGGCGTCGACTATATCCCCTTGCATTACATGCCGGGGGGATAATAACACAATTTACACAAGTCTGTCATTCAATAATGGTTTTGTAGCACAGACCTGTCAATCAAACTTGTCAATCATCCCAATAAGTGACATAACTCTACCGATGTCCGAATCGTTTCCAGGAAAACCAGGAAAAATAAATATGTCAAAATTATGCCAAAGCAAAACGCACCACTTTGGCATCTGCCTCACATATCTACCAAGTTTTGCTGAAAGACATTAAGAAGTTTTCCAGTTGTGCTCCGAAAAAGAAACCCACCCCTCCCTTTTGGGACTAAGCTCGAATTGTTTCCATTGAAACCAAAAAAAATATAAATGACAAAAATCTGTAAATAGCAAAAGGCACCACTTTAAGATTTGTCTCATGTATCCGCCAAGTTTTGCTGAAAGATATTAAGAAGTTTTCCAGTTATGCTCCGGAAACGAAGCCCACCCCCCTTTAAGACTAAGTCCAAAACCCCATGGAAACCAAGAAAAATAAAAAGGACAAAAATCTGTTAATAGCAAAAGGCACCACCTTAGGTTCTGTTTGATATATCTACCAATTTTTGTTGAAAAATATTGAATGGTTTTTGAGTTATGCTCTAGAAACAAAATGATTACGGACGGACGGACAGACAGTCGGACGAGGCGTCGACTATATATCGACTATAACACAATTTACACAAGTCTGACATTCAATAAAGGTTTTGTAGCACAGACCTGTCAATCAAACTTGTCAATCATCCCAATAAGTGACATAACTCTACATGGTGTTGGCTAAACCACTGTAGCAGGTGTGATGCTTGGCTCCTCCCACAGGTGGTATGGGGATGTGCTAGAAGGCCCAGTAATACGAGGTCTAACGTAATTGGTTGCTACACCTTGGTGGCATATCCAGAGTTATTGAACTGCAGAGCACAAGCAAGATTTGTGGAATGTATGAGGAAACTCACCACAGGTCCGTTCATCTTCCCCTTTTTCACAGTCAAAGACTCCGTTGCACACTGAACTATAGTTGAGACAATAGTAGTCCTTGCACATAAACTCAGTGGCAAAACATGAGCCTGAAGTGAAGAGATTCCATAACTTAGGTTTATTGTTCAGCAAAGAACTGAAAGTTGTTCAAGTTAAGTATTCCACTGGGTAAACATTAATAAAGCTGAATGTTCAAGGAGTGTTCATATGAGTTAGAGCAGAAAGTTGCCCTCACAGTAGTGCTGTTGTTATGTGTGATATGTACGATCTTCTGGTGCTTAGCACAGTAGTTTCATTGTTAGCTCTGCCACATGAACTTTGGATTCTGACATTAGTATTTAAACTGTAATTTCTTTGTGTTTTTACAATGAGATATGCTTCTGCCCTTTTCATTCACTGACGTAGAGTGACAACCCTGTTTTGTCTGTCCAACAGTTTCCAAAAACACTACTGCATCTATATACAGTAATACATGAGAGACATGTCACATACTGCAGTTAGCCTCATCCGTGCCGTTGACACAGTCAGGGTAGCCGTCACACACCCACTCCCTCATGATGCAACTGCCATCCAGGCATGACCACGCCCGGAGTGACATCCTGCAATAAATGGCATAAGGCATTACACCCTGGATACACTGAAACATGGAATAACACTGTTACACCCTGGATACACTGAAACATGACATGACACTATTACACACCCTGAATACACTGAAACATGGAATAACACTGTTACACCCTGGATACACTGAAACATGGCATGACACTGTTACACCCTAGATACACTGAAACATGGGATAATACTGTTACACCCTGGATACACTGAAACATGGCATGACACTATTACACACCCTGGATACACTGAAACATGGCATGACACTGTTAAACCCTAGATACACTGAAACATTGCATGCCACTGTTACACCCTGGATACACTGAAACATGGCATGACACTATTACACACCCTGGATACACTGAAACATGGCTTGACACTATTACACACCCTGAATACACTGAAACATGGAATAACACTGTTACACCCTGGATACACTGAAACATGGCATGACACTGTTACACCCTAGATACACTGAAACATGGCAAGCCACTGTTACACCCTGGATACACTGAAACATGGCATGACACTATTACACACCCTGGATACACTGAAACATGGCATGACACTGTCACACCCTGGATACACTGAAACATGGCATGACACTGTTACACCCTGGATACACTAAAACATGGCATGACACTGTTACACCCTAGATACACTGAAACATGGCATGCCACTGTTACACCCTGGATACACTGAAACATGGCATGACACTATTACACACCCTGGATACACTGAAACATGGAATAAGAGTTACAATCTGGACACACTGAAACATGAAATAATACTGTTACACCCAGGATACACTGAAACATGGAATAACACTGTTACACCCTGGATACACTGAAACATGGAATAACACTGTCATGGAATAACACTGTTACACCCTGGATACATTGAAACATGGAATAACACTGCTCCACCCTGGATACATTAAAACATGGAATAACACTGTTCCACCCTGGATACACTGAAACATGGAATAACACTGTTACACCCAGGATACACTGAAACATGGAATAACACTGTTACACCCTGGATACACTGAAACATGGAATAACACTGTTACACACCTGGATACATAAACATGGAATAACACTGTTAATAACACTGTCATGGAATAACACTGTTACACCCTGGATACATTGGAAAACATGGAATAACACTGTTACACCCTGGATACATTGAAACATGGAATAACACTGTTACACCCTGGATACACTGAAACATGGAATAACACTGTTACACCCTGGATACACTGATGGAATACACTGGAATGGATACACTGAAACATGGAATAACTGAAACATGGAATAACACTGTTACACCCTGGATACAATAACACTGTTACACCCTGGATACAAACATGGAATAACACTGTTACACCCTGGATACACTGAAACATGGAATAACACTGTTACACCCTGGATACATTGAAACATGGAATAACACTGTTACACCCTGGATACACTGAAACATGGAATAACACTGTTCCACCCTGGATACACTGAAACATGGAATAACACTGTTACACCCTGGATACACTGAAACATGGAATAACACTGTCATGGAATAACACTGTTACACCCTGGATACATTGAAACATGGAATAACACTGTTCCACCCTGGATACATTGAAACATGGAATAACACTGTTCCACCCTGGATACACTGAAACATGGAATAACACTGTTACACCCAGGATACACTGAAACATGGAATAACACACCCTTGAAACATGGAATGAAACATGGAATAACACTGTTCCACCCTGGATACATTGAAACATGGAATAACACTGTTCCACCCTGGATACACTGAAACATGGAATAACACTGTTACACCCTGGATACACTGAAACATGGAATAACACTGTTACACCCTGGATACACTGAAACATGGAATAACACTGTCATGGAATAACACTGTTACACCCTGGATACATTGAAACATGGAATAACACTGTTCCACCCTGGATACATTGAAACATGGAATAACACTGTTACACCCTGGATACACTGAAACATGGAATAACACTGTTACACCCAGGATACACTGAAACATGGAATAACACTGTTACACCCTGGATACACTGAAACATGGAATAACACTGTCATGGAATAACACTGTTACACCCTGGATACACTGAAACATGGAATAACACTGTTACACCCTGGATACACTGAAACATGGAATAACACCCTGGATACACTGTCATGGAATAACACTGTTACACCCTGGATACATTGAAACATGGAATAACACTGTTGAAACACCCTGGATACACTGAAACATGGAATAACACTGTTACACCCTTCCACCCTGGATACACTGGAAACATGGAATAACACTGTTACACCCTGGATACACTGAAACATGGAATAACACTGTTCCACCCTGGATACACTGAAACATGGAATAACACCCTGGATCATGGAATAACACTGTTACACCCACCCTGGATACACTGTTGAAACATGGAATAACACTGTTACACCCTGGATACACTGAAACATGGAATAACACTGTTACACCCTGGATACACTGAAACATGGAATAACACTGTTACACTCTGGATACATTGAAACATGGATAACACATGGAATAACACTGTTACACCCTGGATACACTGAAACATGGAATAACACTGTTCCACCCTGGATACACTGAAACATGGAATAACACTGTTCCACCCTGGATACACTGAAACATGGAATAACACTGTTCCACCCTGGATACACTGACACTGGAATAACACTGTTACATATGGAATAACACTGTTACACCCTGGATACATTGAAACATGGAATAACACTGTTACACCCTGGATACATTGAAACATGGAATAACACTGTTACACACCCTGGATACACCCTGAAACATGGAATAACACTGTTACACCCTGGATACATTGAAACATGGAATAACACTGTTCCACCCTGGATACACTGAAACATGGAATAACACTGTTACACCCTGGATACACACATGGAATAACACTGGAATAACATTGAAACATGGAATAACACTGGATACACTGAAACATGGAATAACACTGTTCCACACTGTTCCACCCTGGATACACTGAAACATGGAATAACACTGTTCCACCCTGGATACACTGAAACATGGAATAACACTGTTACACCCTGGATACACTGAAACATGGAATAACACTGTTCCACCCTGGATACACTGAAACATGGAATAACACTGTTCCACCCTGGATACACTGAAACATGGAATAACACTGTTCCACCCTGGATACACTGAAACATGGAATAACACTGTTCCACCCTGGATACACTGAAACATGGAATAACACTGTTCCACCCTGGATACACTGAAACATGGAATAACACTGTTCCACCCTGGATACATTGAAATATGGAATAACACTGTTCCACCCTGGATACAGTGAAATATGGAATAACATTGTTACATCCTGGATACATTGAAATATGGAATAACACTGTTCCACCCTGGATACACTGAAATATGGAATAACATTGTTACATCCTGGATACATTGAAATATGGAATAACACTGTCATGGAATAACACTGTTACACCCTGGATACATTGAAACATGGAATAACACTGCTCCACCCTGGATACATTGAAATATGGAATAACACTGTTCCACCCTGGATACACTGAAATATGGAATAACATTGTTACACCCTGGATACACTGAAATATGGCAGGGCTGACATAACTTTCACAACAATAGTAATGATTAAATGTTTTTGTAGGTACAGAGCTTACTTCTACTATTCATAAACATGTTTGACAGATACAAAGAATTTTTCTAACTACGTAAATGTTTATGGTTACTTATTTGGTGAATGCTTCATGGGTTTGTCAATACAGTGACAGTATACACAGATACTCCCACATCTAAACACACTTCCCAAACCTGGGACAGCACAAGCTAAAGAGGAACTAAAACACTTGTGAGTTCAGCAACCATGACAAGTATCAATACCTCTGTCATGTTTGCTCAGCAATAATAACTGTCCTCAGTAGCTTGTGTTTTCAGTTACCGGTATATTCATTTTCTACATGCATTTATACAGAGGGATTTGTCATGTCCTCTACAGCAAACATTAATGACTGGCAATTATCATAACATGCCTTATAATGTTTCCAGTGAATGAAGGATAGTATTGATTTACTGATAATGTGGCACGCCAAGCTCAATGACAGGTACAGATGTGTCTTTGATGGAAACAGTCTATTGAGTCGAACACAAACTGAATATCATGGGTAGCATATGACGCTATTGAAATGTGTTCCGTAATGTGTAGGACGTATTAAGCTGAGGCCCGCACACCTTTCATACTTTGTGAATGTCATATCTAAGTTAGAGCACTTCTATATTTAGGAGCAGATTAATGGAATATATTTTGTTCTGTCAAGGTACCTAGTGAATGTTGTGCAATATGTGGTGGCAATACAGTAAAGTGTTCATATAGCATATAACTCTCAACCAGGCAAACCGGAGGCAGAGGCATGAATTACTGTCAACTTAATGGTATTGCTGTCTATGTTTTATAGTCGTAGATATTATTGCTGTGAAAAATAATGTTTGGGAATGACATATTAATATAACCTTGATGTACTTATGACATTTTTTTCGATGCATGTTTTCACTGAATATGGCTTAAACAATATACGAGAAATATAATTAACTCCCTCTGTCATTTTGGTGAGTCAGATCGCACATCATTGGAATACAACACACATTCAGCCAGGTAATACATTTCTATACTGCGACACACATTAACCATTTCAGGCTATTCTAGCTACTGTACACTGAAAGCAAGAAAATTAATCCTTTCCGGAAAAATGTTGCCATTAGCCATTGTGCAAATATAAGGAGTCCACTTCCTAATGTATAAATAGGAATCCAGTTCCCAATATTGTACGAATATAAGGAATCAAATTCCTTATGTATAAATACAAGGAATCCAATTCCTAAAGTATAAATATAAGGAATCCAATTCCTAATGTATAAATATAAGGAATCCAATTCCTAATGTATAAATACAAGGAATCCAATTCCTAAAGTATAAATATAAGGAATCCAATTCTAAAGTATAAATATAAGTATAAAATCCAATTCCTAATGTATAAATATAAGGAATCCAATTCCTAAATGTATAAATATAAGGAATCCAATTCCTAATGTATAAATACAAGGAATCCAATTCCTAATGTATAAATATAAGGAATCCAATTCCTAATGTATAAATACAAGGAATCCAATTCCTAAAGTATAAATACAAGGAATCCAATTCCTAAAGTATAAATACAAGGGTAATGTATAAATATAAGGAATCCAATTCCTAATGTATAAATATAAGGAATTCAATTCCACGTGTGTGAGTGAGTGAGTTTAGTTTTATGCCATACTCCAGCTATATGCCGACGGTCTGTAAAACATCGAGTCAGGACCAGACAATCAAGTGATCAACAGCATGAGCATCGATCTGCACAATTGGGAACCGATGACATGTGTCAACCAAGCCAGCGAGCCCGTCCACCTGATCCCGTTAGTCGCCTCTTACAAGCATGGGTTACTGAAGGCTCATTCTATCCCGGACCTTCACTTGGTTAATTCCCAAGGAATTTCAGGAGGGGCAATAAATCATTAGAAAAATGAGTATTGGTTGGACAAAGTGTTTCTCCTGATGCCAGGATCCCATCCTGGTTGTAGCCCATTCTGACAGTATAGAGAGTATAACAGCACATAACATATAGTCAATGTAACATTTTACGTAACCATGGTAACTTACGACAGTCCTTTTCATCACTGTTGTCGTAACAGTCATCAATGCCATTGCACACAAGTGCTTGTCTTATCTGCATTCCATTGTCACACACGTGGTAATTGTTTCTCCGAGCTGAGAACATACAACAAATCAAGAGAGGCATAATATTAACATAGAAATGTGACAGATGAAAGCTGGTGTTCAAAGATTGTTTAAAATCCACATGGCAAATAACAGGCGAATTTATAGATTTGAAAAACAGTGACCTGACAGGCTGGTTCAGTTTGTTGTTTTACGCCGCTATATGGCAGCGATCTGAATATAATCGAGTCTGGACCAGACAGTCCAGTGATCAACAGCATGAGCATCAGTCTACGCAATGATGACATGTGTCAACCCAGTCAGCGAGCCTGACCAGCTAATCCTGTAAGTCGCCTCTTATGAGAAGCATGGGTTACTGAAGATCAATTCTAACCCGGACCTTCACAGGTAGACCTGACAGGCACATATGGCTGCTTGTTTAATTCTCAGACCTACTGAGCCATGCGTGATGACTGAATATTGCTCCCTCTAGCCTGACTGATCGGAACACAGTCAGCTGATACATTCAAAAAGCTTTCATGACAACATGTGATTGTGAACACACAATACAAAAGTACCAATATTATGTCACAGGGCGCCAGATAATGGCCGTATCGGCGGTATGTACGGATATAAAATATGCACGATAGGAAATAATTTAGAAAACGTAGCAGATACGCACCAGAGCAATGGTTTACGGTCTTAGAATCATTTACAGACATATTTTTCTGAAAAAGTATTGTTGTATTGTTTATTGACGTGTTTACACAAGGGTAGCAATGTTGTGGTGCATATATGAAAGGTAACACAAGATTAGCTTCCATTCAGTACTCTAAATATACTCTTAAGGTTTTCAAGTACTCCTGTATTGAAAAAATAAGGACTACATACTCCTGATGTTGAAAAATTATCTGGAGCCCTGTGTCAAACTCACATTTTCTCAGTAAAGTACAAAGTCTAGTACTCTCAGTTGTTGAGTTGTATCTGAGTTCGACTGGTGGTCTATGTCACATACTTCCTGTACCTCCCTTCCACACAACTTCCTAAAAATATCCCTTTAAATATTTATGATTTCTAGTTGTTTGTTCAGTATATAAGTTTATGAAGCATAAAAACAAGATTATTCCTAAAGTGACAAAAGCTCCCTAAATAATTTCAAAGTATTATCAACTTACGACAGTTGAGTTCATCACTAAGGTCGGCACAGTCGAAGCGTCCGTTGCACCTACGCTTGCCGTCCCACAAACACAGGCCTGAGGCGCACTGGTACCCCCCTGACTGCTGACACTCTGGAACAGTACCATCATGTTACTTGTCACTGGTGGGGGTAACTGCTGCTGTATGAAAACTACTTTCATCATCCACCTCCACTTGAAATGTTGTCCAACACTTCTTTCCTGAATACTGTGATGTCATTGGTTACCATGAAAGTCACAATCAAATGGCACCTCTCATCTCTCAACCAATGAAGTAGACCAAAGCTTAGTCTCTGAATACATATAATTTTGATTGTAACAAATAAACCCATTTCAATTGAAAAGGAGCCAGAGATCCCTGAACCTGGGCAAATGTAGACCTGCTACATTTTGGGCTTTAGCACTGCAGAGAGGGTAAGACTGAAGGGAAAATACTGTGGTTCAGGGATTGTGAGACAGACAACCATTGAAGCTTCCTAGCCTCCACTGTTTCAATGACTGAAGCAAACTGACACAACAGTCAGTAGATAAAAAACACTGGCCTGTTGTATGTGGACAGTCTAGGCCTGCTTGAACTTGTTTCACTAGTTACTCGAACTTGAACAGGTGTATGATGGTGAAACTCTGCATGAAGCTTGCTACCAATGGCCGTTGCTAAGCTCATTGTTGATAGAACCACAACTTTTCAACTTTTTTTATTTCAATGCTATCCATAAGTGAAAACCTATATTGTGGGCATGTTTAAAATCAGATAAATGTTTTTTAACAGTTTTAGAGCAAAAGCCTTGTAGTTCCACAGGTGATGTCAAAATGTCAAAGGTAAAACAACGGATGTCAGGGCAAGGAGATGAACAAGTTTCATGAATAGACAACTTCTCTATTCAACAGATGGAAATTGGTGCAAATGAAAACAAATGGTGTTAGCATGGATACTAAAATGTCGCATCTACTGCAATAGAGAAGTTGGATATCCATAAAACGTGTTCGTCTTAAAGAAGCAGGACAAGATTAACCAGACATTAGCTGAAAGCAGGTATTTTTAGGTGACTTTGACATTCGCTTGTGATCAACTCTTTGTTGTTTCACTGAGGCAAGACAGTCAGGGACATGTCCTTATCACAAAGTCAAGCAGTGGGAAATTATGTACCTGAACAGGAGGTTTCATCAGACTGGTCAAGGCATTCAATCTTCCGGTTGCACCTCGAACTGCCATCCACACACTGACCACTGTCACAGCGGAGCTGATCAGACCGACAAGCTGGAAGAACATACAAGCAAGTCAACACACCTCTCACAGGCATTATTAAACAATGATCCCAGTACATAGAAACAATATGACCCTCAAACAGTGAGACCACCAGGCAAACCCTCCACACTTGGAGTAATTGTATATACCCAGTCTAGGCTGTGAACGAGTGAGTGAGTTTAGTTTTATGCCGCACTCAGCAATATTCCAGCTATATGACGTCAGTCTGTAAATAATCGAGTCTGGACCAGACAATCCAGTGATCAACAGCATCAGCATCGATCAACGCAATTGGGACTGTGGAAGTAAGTGAGCCTGACCACACAATCCCGTTAGTCCCCTCTTACGATAAGTCCCTTCTTAATATGCTGTGAACTGAACTGAAGCTGATTCTACAGAGTTCCTGACACATGCTAACTAGACAGAGACCATTTTTAGATACACCATCGCTGATATTATTCATCAAAAGTCAATGCATTTCTCTGAATAATACTATCAGCCTTCAGGGAAGCTACCACATAATTTATTCAAAACATTTTCACATTTTTAGATTAAAATATTAAATTAAACAGTTCGAATGAATTAATGCAACGTGGCATTAAATCGACTCTTGCGCTCTCTACCGGCCGAACATTATTTCAAGCGAACCCCATATAGTTATGTCCCTTGGAACGCTCTTTACGAATATCCTATAACGCAACCTGTGATTGAGGCCAGCTCGGTAAACAATGACAACACCGCATGCAACAGTTTTTCGATATACAGAGCAACCGATTACATTCCATATATGGCAAGTGTTATCTGTTTGGAAGCTGTTCGCCTCAAAGTTTCAAATATCAATTTCAGGCAAGTCGTAAGGGATAATAAGTCTTTTATTGCATCAATAGGAAGTTAAAGTGAGTGCATATGCCCCCAATATATAAAATATAGGCCAAAATATTGTGGAAAATGTGTGACATTGTGCCTTTAAGGATAAATACCTGTAAACTGATTGAAAATGATTTTATGGTCTAACAACTGTAAATGCTTACCCGGCAAAGTGGTTGTATCAACCGTGGTGGATGATGCTGTTGCTGTAGATGAGGTATCGGCTGCAGGTGTGGAAGCAGTTGAAGAAAGAACAGAGGCATGAGTTGGGGAGACATGTGTTGGAATTTCTGAGGTGTGGTCACCGACACTGGAAGAGACCTGGTATGTATGTGATGGAGGGAGAGTCATTCCTGAAGCGGTGGGAGATGGTTTTATTGAGATCGTAGGAGTGATGGGAATATGAGTTGTCCGGGAAAGCGGCGCTGAGGGAGAGGTTGTGGTTGGTGGAGATGGTGGGGTTGTTGAGGAGGATGAAATGGAAGAGGAGATGCTCAATGTTGATTGCATGTTAGCCTCACCAGCATTCACAGCCCTTCTGACGTCGCCTGTAACATACAGAATAACCTGACATCGCCTCTAACATACAGAATAACCTGACATCGCCTGTAACATACAGAATATCCTCACATTGCCTGTAACAGAATAACCTGACATCACCTGTAACATACACAATAACCTGACATCGCCTGTCACATACAGAATAACCTGACATTGCCTGTAACATACAGAATAACTTGACATCACCAGTAACATACAGAATAACCTGACATCGCCTGTAACATACAGAATAACATCACCTTGCCTGTAACATACAGAATAACCTGACATCGCCCTGTAATATACAGAATATCCTCACCTCGCCTGTAACATACAGAATAACCTGACATCACCTGTAACATACAGAATAACCTGACATCGCCTGTAACATACACAATAACCTGACATCGCCTGTAACATACAGAATAACCTGACATAGCCTGTAACATACAGAATAACCTGACATTGCCTGTTACATACAGAATATCCTCACCTCACCTGTAACATACAGAATAACCTGACATTGCCTGTAACATACAGAATAACCTGACATCGCCTGTAGCATACAGAATGACCTGACATCACCTGTAACATACAGAATAACCTGACATAGCCTGTAACATACAGAATAACCTGACATGGCCTGTAACATACAGAATAACTTGACATCACCTGTAACATACAGAATAACCTGACATTGCCTGTAACATACAGAATATCCTCACCTCGTCTGTAATATACAGAATAACCTGACATCGCCTGTAACATACAGAATATCCTCACCTCGCCTGTAACATACAGAATAACCTGACATGGCCTGTAACATACAGAATAACCTGACATCGTCTGTAACATACAGAATAACCTGACATCGCCTGTAACATACACAATAACCTGACATGGCCTGTAACATACACAATAACCTGACATCGCCTGTATCATACACAATAACCTGACATTGCCTGTAACATACAGAAAAACCTGACATGGCCTGTAACATACAGAATAACCTGACATCGCCTGTAACATACAGAATAACCTGACATCGCCTGTAAGATACACAATAACCTGACATTGCCTGTAACATACACAATAACCTGACATGGCCTGTAACAGAAAAACCTGACATCGCCTGTAACAGAAAAACCTGACATCGCCTGCAATATACAGAATAACCTGACATCGCCTGTAACAGAAAAACCTGACATCGCCTAAAGCATACAGAATAACCTGACATTGCCTGTAACAGAATAACCTGACATCGCCTGTAATATACAGAATAACCTGACACATACAGATAGTGCATAGCCAGCGATACACAAACTAATGACATCCTTTGTATCAATACAGGCTGATATCACCTGTAACAGACCAACAGGTGCATGGCAGGAGACACACAAGCTGATGATGTCGCCGGATAACACAGAGATCTTAAGTGTGCCCTGCAGTCACTTGGAATGTAACTGTGCCATTACAATTCTAGCCATGCCATAACACCAGAAATACAGGTCAAACCCTGAGCCACTTCAATGGGAAAATGCCTGACTTTGCAGATGAAGACAAAGAACATATCTGGTTCCTTTGTTAAAAGTTTTAGGTGGGTTAACATGAAATCTCTGCTGTCAGTAAGTCAATTAAGCCAGGGAGCAGCAGCAACAATGCTACTTCACACAACACTCAATCTTCACACTCTTCCATTGCAGTTATAGTAGCATCATGGATGGATTAAATATTATTCACATTCATTATTATCATGCTGGTGTTTGTTATTTCAGGCATAAATCCAGTCTATTGTACATCACTGAAAATAAGAAAAATATGGATGAAGAATATTACATCATGTATAGGTCCAGTACATTGTCATATTTTGATTGTTGATGTTATACACTTTGTTTTATAACTCTTAGATAACCTGTTACTTCAAATTACTAAATATACTGGCATAATTCACAGTACTTAGAAAAGGATGAAAAAACAATGTGTTCAGTGATAGTTTGTCAACCAGTTCATCTATCGATTTGTTGAAAGTAGTCTCACTTAGTGAGGTGAGGTGAGGTGAAATTGGTTTTACGTAGTGCTTGAGAATATTTCGCTCATATGATTTGATGCATGCGTGTGTATGTGTATGTGTAGGTGAAATGGGGTTTAACGCCGTACTTGAGAATGTTGTGTGTGGCTGCTTGTACTAGCCCAGACTTTAGCTGGTTTATAGTGCTAGCTCACTGAGACACCATGCCGCAGTTAAGATGAATTATGTACCCCAATAAGACACATTATACTGACTCCAAGCCGACCAGTCCTTGTTACACCCACTTATGAAGGCTGAGCGCCAGGCAGGTACCAACAAGTACCATATTTTAACCTCTTTTGGTATCATTTGGCCAGGAATCAAACCCGCGACCTTCCGCTCTAAGGGAGGACACTCTAACCACTACACCACGGAGGCAGTCACATATTTGAACAAAAGCCTAAGCTTAATTGTAAATCTGAAAGGATGTACACTGTCAACAGTTCAAGTTTGTTGGGTAAAGTTGCTACAAGATATTTCTAATTCTACCTCAGAGAGTTGATATGACCAATCTGTCATTAAATGTATTGGCCTGTCTGAGGGTTGGGGTCAGGTGGCCTGTAAGTGCTACCCTGCCACAAATTACTTTGAAGAGCCATGTCACAACTCGACACCAGTAAGCACTGCCTACATTCATAACTTGGGCAGTTTTGTGTGCCGTGGACAAACAGAATGAATGAAGCATGACAACAGGTGGTGTGCCCCCTCTCCCTCAGCACAATGTTCACCTGACCGTGATGCATTTGGCGAGTGAGTGACTTGGGTTTAATGCCCCCTTCAACAGTAATCCAAACACATCCCACTGTGTCAAGTTAATGTTGTTGTTTGTTGTTCGATTCCACACACAGCAACATTACAGCTATTTGACGGCAGCCTGTAAATAATCAAGGCTCAGGAATTTATCTAAGATTCCATATTACCCTTGGCAAACAAATTGGGAAAATATGGTTGTATTGTTGAAACCTGGCATTTTCTTAAAACACTAATTTGTAGTAAATTCACAGGTACTTTAACATTGCATGTTTACATACTATTCAACTTTATAATGTAGACCTAAAACAATGAAGTCTCTTCCCATTAGTTGGTCCTCTTAGTGAAATACAAGCCACATCCATACAGGCATAACATTTGACATCTCAGTAATTGCATGAACTGGGAACATGTTCATTGCAAACTTGGAAATTGTTGGAGACATATTTGCTGAGTGAGTGAGTGAGTTTAGTTTCACGGCGAACTCAGCAATATTCAAGCCATATGGCACAGGTCTGTAAATAATCGAGTCTGTACCAGACAATCCAGTGATCAATATCATGAGCATCGATCTATGCAACTGGGATACGATGAAATGTGTCAACCAAGTCAGTGAGCCTGACCACACGATCAGGTTAGTGACCTCTTACAACAAGCATGGGTTACTGGAGATCAGTTCTAACCCGGATCTTCACGGGTCATTTGCTAAGACTGACTTTAGATCTCAATATCAGCCTCTGAGCAGGCTCACATGGATCACTGTCTAGCATGGACAAGGCATGACAGATACTGTAAACAATGACCCGGCAATATCTGGGTACAATGATACAAGATCAGCCTCATTTTAATGAGGGAGAAAAGCCCTAAGTGAAGGTGATAGATGTTTGTCACTTCAGTGGAAGAGATGGGTTTACTTCAAGGTTCACAAGCATTGTCACTAAGGTGACATAATCCCCCGCCGCAAATTATCAAATCTAACTCATAAAGTAATGAAAGTTCAAGATGAAGTTAAATGTCAACAAAATCATGACCAGTCAACCTCTCTTGATATCTGGCTCTTTAGTTGTTCAAACACACAGATATTTTCAAGACTGACTTTGACCTTGACATGAATGTCATAGTGTATGAAATATGCAAAACTAGTACTAAAGACATTGCTTATTGAAAAACATTCAAGGAAAGTCTTGAAAGTCTATGAAGAAAATCCAGTGAAACGTTCTTGAAATATCTTGCTGACAATTCAGGTTAACATGTTGAAATCTTCAAAGTGTCGTCGTGACCCTCAAAATTATGTGAAGGTCACCAAAATTGACTGGGCCTTGGGCCTTCCCTAGATAAGGTTGGTGTCAAATATGAAGAAAATCCAGTGAATATTTTTTGCAATATCTTGCTGACTATCTTAACATGCAATTTAATATGCTGAAATCTTCAGTGTCTCTGTGACCTTGAAAATTAAGTGAAGGTCACCAAAATCGACTGGGCCCTGCGCCTTCCCTGGATGAAGCTTGGTGTCAAATATGAAGAAACTCCATTGAATGGTTCTTGAGGTATATCGCTGACAAGCATAACATGTAGGTTAATGTGCTGAAATCTTCAAAGTGTCTCTGTGACCTTGAAAAGTATGTGAAGGTCACCAAAGTAGACTGGGCCCTGCACCTTCTCTGGATGAAGCTTGGTGTCAAATATGATGAAACTCCAGTGAATGGTTCTTGAGGTATATCGCTGACAAGCATAACATGTAGGTTAATATGCTGAAATCTTCAAAGTGTCTCTGTGACCTTGAAAATTATGTGAAGGTCAACAAAATAGACTGGGCCCTGCACCTTCCCTGGATGAAGCTTGGTGTCAAATATGAAGAAACTCCAGTGAATGGTTCTTAAGGTATATATTGCTGACAAGCATAACATATAGGTTAATATGCTGAAATCTTCAAAGTGTCTCTGTGACCTTGAAAATTAAGTGAAGGTCACCAAAATCGACTGGGCCCTGCGCTTTCCGTAGATAAAGCTTGGTATTGAATATGAAAAAAATCCAGTGAACGGTTCTTGAGATAGCTTAACATGCAGGTAAAACGTTAAAGTCCCCTTGTGACCTTGAGATGAAGGTCAAGGTCACCAAACCTGACTTGGTCCTTTCTTATACTGTGATGAAGCTAGGTACCAATTATGAAAAGAATCTAGTCAACGGTTCTTAAGATATTCCAATTCATGCGAACGGACGGACAGACGGAGCCTAATACTTTATCACCCGCTGCGAGCTAAACGCGCGGCGGGGGATAATAATCAAGTGAATCTGAGATTGGCTTCTAATGAATTCTGGTGCAGCAAAGGGAGGCTGTGTACACGGAAACAACCAAAAACCACATAAAATGTATGTAATTTCAAGTAAAATCATCTCCACAGCTCAAGTAATGTTGATTGTGTGTATGTATATGATTATGACAGAAACCATAGTAACTATCATTCATGCAAAAGAGGAAATAGGGTTTCAATAAGTGGAAAACATCCATTCTTATTTCAAACAGTGTAGTCCATATGTTTGTATGATGCCAAATATACCTTCAGTCTAGTAACTCAGGGCAATAACCGAATACATCGCGTTCATTAAATGTTGAGAATGACCATTACCTGTGAGTGTAATGTTCATATGTTAAAACCATTGAGAATGACCATTACCTGTGAGTGTAATGTTCATATGTTAAAACCATTGAGAATGACCATTACCTGTGAGTGTAATGTTCATATAATAAAACCATTGAGAATGACCATTACCTGTGAGTGTAATGTTCATATGTTAAAACCATTGAGAATGACCATTACCTGTGAGTGTAATGTTCATATGTTAAAACCATTGAGAATGACCATTACCTGTGAGTGTAATGTTCATATGTTAAAACCATTGAGAATGACCATTACCTGTGAGTGTAATGTTCATATAATAAAACCATTGAGAATGATCATTACCTGTGAGTGTAATGTTCATATAATAAAACCATTGAGAATGACCATTACCTGTGAGTGTAATGTTCATATGTTAAAACCATTGAGAATGACCATTACCTGTGAGTGTAATGTTCATATAATAAAACCATTGAGAATGATCATTACCTGTGAGTGTAATGTTCATATGTTAAAACCATTGAGAATGACCATTACCTGTGAGTGTAATGTTCATATGTTAAAACCATTGAGAATGACCATTACCTGTGAGTGTAATGTTCATATGTTAAAACCATTGAGAATGACCATTACCTGTGAGTGTAATGTTCATATGTTAAAACCATTGAGAATGACCATTACCTGTGAGTGTAATGTTCATATGTTAAAACCATTGAGAATGACCATTACCTGTGAGTGTAATGTTCATATGTTAAAACCATTGAGAATGACCATTACCTGTGAGTGTAATGTTCATATGTTAAAACCATTGAGAATGACCATTACCTGTGAGTGTAATGTTCATATGTTAAAACCATTGAGAATGACCATTACCTGTGAGTGTAATGTTCATATGTTAAAACCATTGAGAATGACCATTACCTGTGAGTGTAATGTTCATATAATAAAACCATTGAGAATGATCATTACCTGTGAGTGTAATGTTCATATGTTAAAACCATTGAGAATGATCATTACCTGTGAGTGAATGTTCATATGTTAAAACCATTGAGAATGACCATTACCTGTGAGTGTAATGTTCATATGTTAAAATCCATTGAGAATGACCACCACCATGTACCCGTAGAGTGTAATGTTCATATGTTAAAACCATTGAGAATGATCATTACCTGTGAGTGTAATGTTCATGTTCATATGTTAAAACCATTGAGAATGACCATTACCTGTGAGTGTAATGTTCATATGTTAAAACCATTGAGAATGATCATTACCTGTGAGTGTAATGTTCATATGTTAAAACCATTGAGAATGACCATTACCTGTGAGTGTAATGTTCATATAATAAAACCATTGAGAATGATCATTACCTGTGAGTGTAATGTTCATATGTTAAAACCATTGAGAATGACCATTACCTGTGAGTGTAATGTTCATATAATAAAACCATTGAGAATGACCATTACCTGTGAGTGTAATGTTCATATGTTAAAACCATTGAGAATGACCATTACCTGTGAGTGTAATGTTCATATAATAAAACCATTGAGAATGACCATTACCTGTGAGTGTAATGTTCATATGTTAAAACCATTGAGAATGACCATTACCTGTGAGTGTAATGTTCATATAATAAAACCATTGAGAATGACCATTACCTGTGAGTGTAATGTTCATATGTTAAAACCATTGAGAATGACCATTACCTGTGAGTGTAATGTTCATATAATGTTCATATGTTCATATAATAAAAACCATTGAGAATGACCATTACCTGTGAGTGTAATGTTCATATGTTAAAACCATTGAGAATGATCATTACCTGTGAGTGTAATGTTCATATGTTAAAACGTTGAGAATGACCATTACCTGTGAGTGTAATGTTCATATAATAAAACCATTGAGAATGACCATTACCTGTGAGTGTAATGTTCATATGTTAAAACCATTGAGAATGATCATTACCTGTGAGTGTAATGTTCATATGTTAAAACCATTGAGAATGACCATTACCTGTGAGTGTAATGTTCATATGTTAAAACCGTTGAGAATGACCATTACCTGTGAGTGTAATGTTCATATAATAAAACCGTTGAGAATGACCATTACCTGTGAGTGTAATGTTCATATGTTAAAACCATTGAGAATGATCATTACCTGTGAGTGTAATGTTCATATGTTAAAACTCATTGAGAATGATCATTACCTGTGAGTGTAATGTTCATATGTTAAAACCATTGAGAATGACCATTACCTGTGAGTGTAATGTTCATATGTTAAAACCATTGAGAATGACCATTACCTGTGAGTGTAATGTTCATATGTTAAAACCATTGAGAATGACCATTACCTGTGAGTGTAATGTTCATATGTTAAAACCATTGAGAATGATCATTACCTGTGAGTGTAATGTTCATATGTTAAAACCATTGAGAATGATCATTACCTGTGAGTGTAATGTAATGTTTGAGAATGACCATTACCTGTGAGTGTAATGTTCATATGTTAAAACCATTGAGAATGACCATTACCTGTGAGTGTAATGTTCATATAATAAAACCGTTGAGAATGACCATTACCTGTGAGTGTAATGTTCATATGTTAAAACCATTGAGAATGACCATTACCTGTGAGTGTAATGTTCATATGTTAAAACCATTGAGAATGACCATTACCTGTGAGTGTAATGTTCATATGTTAAAACCATTGAGAATGACCATTACCTGTGAGTGTAATGTTCATATGTTAAAACCATTGAGAATGACCATTACCTGTGAGTGTAATGTTCATATAATAAAACCATTGAGAATGACCATTACCTGTGAGTGTAATGTCATATGTTAAAACCATTGAGAATGACCATTACCTGTGAGTGTAATGTTCATATAATAAACCATTGAGAATGACCATTACCTGTGAGTGTAATGTTCATATGTTAAAACCATTGAGAATGACCATTACCTGTGAGTGTAATGTTCATATAATAAAACCGTTAAGAATGACCATTACCTGTGAGTGTAATGTTCATATGTTAAAACCATTGAGAATGACCATTACCTGTGAGTGTAATGTTCATATAATAAAACCGTTGAGAATGACCATTACCTGTGAGTGTAATGTTCATATGTTAAAACCATTGAGAATGACCATTACCTGTGAGTGTAATGTTCATATGTTAAAACCATTGAGAATGACCATTACCTGTGAGTGTAATGTTCATATGTTAAAACCATTGAGAATGATCATTACCTGTGAGTGTAATGTTCATATGTTAAAACCGTTGAGAATGATAATTACCTGTGAGTGTAATGTTCATATAATAAAACCGTTGAGAATGACCATTACCTGTGAGTGTAATGTTCATATGTTAAAACCATTGAGAATGATCATTACCTGTGAGTGTAATGTTCATATGTTAAAACCGTTAAGAATGACCATTACCTGTGAGTGTAATGTTCATATAATAAAACCGTTAAGAATGACCATTACCTGTGAGTGTAATGTTCATATGTTAAAACCATTGAGAATGACCATTACCTGTGAGTGTAATGTTCATATAATAAAACCGTTGAGAATGACCATTACCTGTGAGTGTAATGTTCATATGTTAAAACCATTGAGAATGACCATTACCTGTGAGTGTAATGTTCATATGTTAAAACCGTTGAGAATGACCATTACCTGTGAGTGTAATGTTCATATAATAAAACCGTTGAGAATGACCATTACCTGTGAGTGTTAGTCCAACCGCCAGAGCAATGGTAGCCAGTATGACAGCAGCTAGAACACACACAATCCCCACTAGAAGCAGTCGACGGGAGGCGGTGGCGCGTTTGGCCGCAGCATTGTCTGCAACACCATTTTCATTGATGTCTATCTGAAGCATACTGAAGCGGACATTAGGGTGTTCGTCCTCCTTCGTTGTCATGTCTTTAGGAATCTCATAATCAACAGGAAGTTGTTTGGGTTGATGGTTGCCTGCATCTGAAATAGAGAATACCTCTGTTAGAGATCCAAGCACCTGTAGACACCAACAGACCAAACTGTTTGTTCTTTAACTAAAAAGCTAAATGACATAAAGTTCCATCCCTCCTCATTTAAGAATCCTCACTTCATTTGAGTGAATCTGAACAGAATTTGAGTACAGGTTTGAGCTACATACTCTACTGCCACAGCCAACTTTACATCACACATGAGTGAGACTGAGAGGGTTTAATCCTGCTTAGTGTGGGCAGAAAGCTTGCAGGTCTGAGTGAGTGAGTGAGTGAGTGAGTGAGTGAGTGAGTGAGTGAGTGAGTGAGTGAGTGAGTGAGTGAGTGAGTGAGCGAGCGAGCAAAAGTGATTAGTTTTACGCTGCACTCAACAATATTCTAGCTATATGGCAGCAGTCTGTAAATAATCGAGTCTGGACAAGACAATCCAGTGATCAACATCATAGGCATCGACCTATGCAATTGGGATATGATGACATGTGTCAACCAAGTCAGCGAGCCTGAGCACCCGATCCAGTTAGTGGCCTCTTACGACAAGCATGGGTTACTGAAGATCAATTCTAACCAGGATCTTCACGGGTGATGCAGGTCTCAGACATTTACCACTTTGGTGCGGCGGTGATAGAACTAGAAACGTGATTAGGGGGAACAGGGATTTGAACCAACAATCATAGGTTTCTGTTGACTTGCAGCATGAATTCAGAAATAAAACAAAGCAGGCTGGTAGTCCCATTCACAAATAAGCTTCCGATCTCCAGCCAGTGGCAATTTGCAATTTTTGTTTTTAAACTATTTCTTGACCAGTCAAGATACATCAAGTGCTTGTTCATTTTCAGCCACAGTGTTTCATACTGCCTATGCCTGAATCTTGTTACAAAGAGTCTGTCCGGTCTGTCCTATTGATTGACAGCTGATTGCAAAACTCTTAAGCAAGAGATCTGATGACTGATTACTGTATTTGATTGTCAACTTAGAACTTGGTAAGTTTCTATGACATCACCAAAAGAAAAAACTATCAGAACCACTTTATATCTGCCCACAAATACTATCAGTCTCCAAAGATGAAGGATCCCTCATTCCATCTGACTATGATGAACTGACAAACACTAATACACCCTGATGTATCGTCTCCATGCTGCATATACAGTTGACACTGAGTACGCATCCGCCATGTTGTTACTCCAATGACAACACGCGGCATGTTTGATGTTCAAATTAGTATTGACAGTTCAAAGGGCTGATGTCATTGATTTACACAACAGATAATGCAGCACCAGCCCCTGCAACACATGAGGTGGATGTTTATTTAACAATCAAGGATCAATTGACGATCCCAATTAGATATGGAGAACACGCGTTGTAACAGACGGATTATTACGTCATTGATTTACTCTCATTACACGATCGCCTCCATGGTGTAGTGGTTAGAGCGTCCGCCCGGAGAGCGGAAGGTCGCGGGTTCGATCCCCGACCGCGTCATGCCAAAAGACGTTAAAATATGATACTTGTTGGTCCCTGCCTGGCGTTCGGCATTAATGGGTACAACAAGGACTGGTCGGCTCGGAGTCAGTATAATGTGTCTGAGTGGGGTATTCATGCTTCACTGCGGCATGGTATCTCAGTGAGCTAGCACTATAAAACCAGCTTCAGTCTGGGCTAGTACAAGCAGCCGCACATACTCATACACACGCATGCACATCGTCATATGAGCAAAATATTCTCAAGCGCGACGTTAAACCCAATTTCACCTCACCTAACCTCTCATTACACAACGTGTAATCACATGAAGTTTTTGGGAGCCGTGTTTTACCCCGCGGTTTAACCGAATCCGCGGTACCGCGAAGCGCGTTATTGCGAGGGATGACTGTACTACTTATACAGAGTCATGTACAGATGGCTTCTTTCTGTTGTTGCTATATCCCATCAGCCATTATCTTTCATTGGCAACTGGACAATGTGTATCCACTGTGTACCCAAATGTTTTGGGTGGACTCAAACCCAAATGTTTTACAACCTGTACCTACTTGTACATAAACAACTGGACTAGAAAAAGCAAAATCCATACAGTGTTCGAGACCATAGCAGCAAATGAATGAATGTTAAAATGTTTAATGGTGTTTCAAAGTAATAGGAGAATAAATTGCTGCAGGAATCCTGTAAGTTATGAGATCTGTCTGACCCACTTTAATGCAATCCCGTTTTAGCAATGAAGTCAGGTATGGCTCATCTTAATTTGGATATGAATAAATGTAACTTTTGGTACAGGTCAATCAAAAGGGGTACAAAAGCTCCAAGTCAGGTAACGAATCTGATGAATATATAGTCCGTTTGGCTCAAAAGTGGACCGATGAATTGCAATCGAACTCGAAAACTAATAAACATAAAATACTCAGAATTTATGTCCTCAGACCAACTCGGTGAGGTTTTGCAGAATTTATGTCCTAAAAATAAAAATTGTTTAACAAACTATCATTAAACTTTTGACACAGTTCACTATTTGTTACGAGGGAGGAGAGCAGAGAAAGGGACAGCCAGGTGTGCGAGAAAGGATGGAGATGGCACAGCACAGGTTAATGAATCAATAACGTTGTCGGCACTTGCTTCTCTAACACCTGGCTGTCCCTTTCTCTGCACTCCTCCCTCGTAACAAATAGTGAACTGTGTCAAAATTTTAATGATAGTTTGCTAAACAACTTTTGTAATTTTAGAACATAAATTCTGCAAACAAATCATAGAGTTGGTCTGATCTTTTGATTATGATCAGCGTTTCATTGAGTATTTTATGTTTATTACTTTTCGAGTTAGATTGCAATTCATCGGTCTGCTTTTGAGCCAAACGGACTATAGGTACAAGTAAGAAATTTTTGTTGGGCACGAATTTCATATTGGACGGATTGTCTAATATTCCTTCTGCATCAATGATAGTGTGGTTAATCCCTTTCATGCATGCCCTTGAGTTGTTTTTAAATTCTCATCAGACATATTCAGGTTTGTACTGTGCTGTCTTACTTTACACTTGCTTTACAAACTAAGTATGATTTATACAGAAATGTCAATTCATTATAAAATAAATACGTTGTCACAGAAAAGACATCTTGCTCTTCAAGGGGACAGCAATGTACTAGAATTTGTACTTTACTAAGAAAGTGTAATCTCAAATATAACATATAGTTACATTTGACCACTTTCTAAATGACATTGTGTAATCACAGCTTTCGGACGTGGGAGCCGTGCCAATTTACACTTCTCAGAGGGGTACACAAAGTCCGCAGTCTAGACTACCAGTTATCCGACTTCCATTTTTCTGGAAGTTGCGCTGGCTGAGCGGGTTAGGCAACTGACTTTGTGTGCTGGTGAATAGGTGCCTGACTCTGAGGGTGTGGGTTCGAATCCCGGGTGGGACTCAACCCAAAGAGTACTAGAATTTGTACTTTACCAAGAAAGTGTAATCCCAAATAAAACATATGTGACAGCAATGCTCTGTTAATGAAAAGAGATGGATGTGTAACAATGGTGTAACTGATGTAGGACAATGGAGTATGCTCTTATAGATGATGCACCATACTACATCTTACCAGGCACATATCACAGACTGACTGACTGAGTTTGGTTTTACGCTGCTTTTAGCAATATTCCAGCAACATCACGGCGGACATATCACAGAACCATCCTATGCTAGTTTGGGGTGAAACACCAAAGTACACAGATAAATACTTTTTGTCAAACAATGCTCAAAATAGCACACATTTACTGCAGCTAATGAACTTAACATACAACAACCTTAGCAAACAGACGTTAATGGCTCACTGAATTTTGGCTTAAATAAAATATTGCTAATCCATACAATACTGTACCCTGGGGTATCATACAGACAAAATGATTTCTGCATTTTGTTTTTGTGTTTGTATGTTTTTCAGAGCCTCGCTCAGCAATGTCCCAGTTATTAGAATAGTACATGTGAAAACAGATTAATTCTGGATCATGCAAACAAATGTTTGACAATATGAGCAGAGTCTGATGCTGTCAAGGTACATGGACAATCAATCAATCATCTGTCCATGTTGATCACTCAGTCGATGTTCGTCAGTATCTTAATTGTTGTACATAACAAGCTTTAAGGTTGCTGAAGACTAGTCTAACCTGGAATCTCCATGGCCAGCTATTGCATGTCTCCAGTCAGTAATGTCACTACGTATTAACTAAACTGTCATATTTACTACAACAAAATAGAATATGACAAATATTGTTACGGATTTACACAAACATTAATCTTATCCAGCTTCATGTGAGTTAACAGTGTCAGTCTCATTCAGTTTCATGGTAGCATAATCCCTTCAACAAGACTAAAATGATACAAAACATTAGTTAAAGAGTCAAGGATCAGTCCATATAAAGTAAGCCCCTCTGTCACTGTTGGTTGCCCCTTGTCAGTTGTCTCCATTTAAAATGGCACTCATCAACTGATATTGTTATTACTATCCACTGAATTACCAAATAGGTCTACATCATCTCTTAATTAACTGAAAACGTAAGCATGAAAACATCAGGGTTAAAATTATTTCATATTTTCATTTGTCCACAAAAATGACATGACACAGAGTTGCCATCTGCCAAATGGTGAAAGTGGCACACCACCAGGAAATCACTAGTCCATCCTGAATTTTAGTGGTCTCTGACAAGCGGGACTTACAATATCTTTTAATCCTGACGAACTTCAATCATCATGGTTGCAAGTTTGAGAGGGTACAATATATCTTTTATGTTTGGATTATTATTAATCATTCGTGCTGCAATGATTTGCCTATTGATTATGATCAACACAGCATCATGAACAAATTATGTTGTCATTATTCAAATGACATGCTTTAAGAAACATACAATTAGAAGCAATGAGTACAAAACGGACCAACCTACCTGACAATGCTCAATGATGTACTGCATCTATGGATAAGCCATGTCATCACGTAAAAACTATCGTCTGCTAAAAGTCAACAGAAATGCCTGTGAAACCGCAGAGAAAGAGCTAAATCAACTGTAACGCAAGTCTTATATATGGTGGCAAAGCGACACCTCAATCAAACTACAATTAACCTCATTTGGGGCCCCGCTGTCATGGTCACATGCCCCCACCGAGTGTTCAGCGCCTTGCGTTCTGGTTGAGCTGTAGAGTCTTGAGAAATGTGAGAAATATTTCCCTTGACACCGTAAAAAACGACTTATAATATATACATAGAATGAATACAAGCTTCAAGTCGCACTTGTCATTTTATGACGGGTACAAAGGCAACAGTACACTTGACATAGTCGGCTGGGACCCCCTATGGGTTTGTATTCGTACAGGTATGTGACCCTTCACCTCAGGAATGTCAAATATGCAGACGCCGTAACCTGACATAAACAAAGTCAAACGTGATAATAACTTAAGCGTTTTCGCATAATCTGATAATTACCATTCTAGAGTTGCCGTATGGCGACAAAGGCTTGTTTGGAATCGGATAGGGTGTAGTTTTCGTAGCATTGTCAGTGGAGTGAAACTGTCTTGTTGATATCTGCGATTGCACATGGATGACTCTTCAGTCACATTTGATTTTGCCTCCACCCACCTGTCGGTACTTACTATCAGAGATGTACGTTTGTATGCCAAACGTCAAAAGAACAAATCGCCGTCCGTCCCTCCGCCCCCTCCCTAACTTCCGATAATGTGTACTATGGTACTTCAATGTACAAAACATGCTGATGCGCGATTAGTTTCTAGTATTTATTGTGAAAATACAAAATTGAGACTTTTGCGCTTTTGAACCTAGACTTTTAAGTGGTTGAGAAATTTGCCAAATTTTTGTCATTAAAAATACTGATGTAAAGATATGTTTATGGTACGTCAGGTTTAATCACGGACTATTCCACGTATTTGCATTACAACAGCACTGGCGAAGAGCAAGTGAAATCATTACGGCCCCTATGCTTCGTTGGGATTTATCGTAAGTTCTCTGAACTTTCAGACAATATATTCTTTACATCCAATTCACTAAAAGATGAATAGCTAAAACAAAACTCACCGTCACACTCGAAATCCAGTCTTGTTTCTGGAAGATGAAAGAAAACTGAGCTTTTGAGCTAATCTTTCAAGACGGGTGGAAAATTTGAAATGCGAGGTGGATGTTGAAATGTCGTTCCATCTGACAGACATGGTGTAGGGTCATATAAGGGTTCCAAATCATACGGATAATAGACATCCATGTTCTTGAGTATTCCATAAATAAGACCAGTGTTACGACGTAAATTGTAATAAAAACGTAAATTGTAATATTTGCAGCAAATTGTAATAAACTTTTATTACAATTTACGTCGTAATAACCAGTATTCCATAATGTATATAGACTTCTTGATTATGCATCATGAAACTTTCATTGTCTTGTTTTCAAAACTGTGACTGAGAGTCCATGCATTTACATCAACATAGTCAGTCTGTGGTATGTGTCTAAACACATGTTTACATCAACATAGTCAGTCTGTGGTATGTGTCTAAACACATGTTTACATCAACATAGTCAGTCTATGTGTTTACATCAACTCAGTCTGTGTAGTATGTGTCTAATCACATGTATGTGTCTAAACACATGTTTACATCAACATAGTCAGTCTGTGGTATGTGTCTAAACACATGTTTACATCAACATAGTCAGTCTGTGTTATGTGTCTAAACACATGTTTACATTAACATTGTCAGTCTGTAGTATGTGTCTAAACACATGTTTACATCAACATAGTCAGTCTGTAGTATGTGTCTAAACACATGTTTACATCAACATAGTCAGCCTGTGGTATATGTCTAAACACATGTTTACATCAACATAGTCAGTCTGTGTTATGTGTCTAAACACATGTTTACATCAAGATAGTCAGTCTGTGGTATGTATCTAAACACATGTGTGTCAGTCTGTAGTATGTGTCTAAACACATGTTTATATCTTTACATCAACATAGTCAGTCTGTGTTATGTGTCTAAACACATGTTTACATCAACATAGTCAGTCTGTGGTATGTGTCTAAACACATGTTTACATCAACATAGTCAGTCTGTAGTATGTGTCTAAACACATGTTTACATCAACATAGTCAGTCTGTGGTATGTGTCTAAACACATGTTTACATCAACATAGTCAGTCTGTAGTATGTGTCTAAAATCTGTTTCTAAACACATGTTTACATCACACATAGTCAGTCTGTGGTATGTGTCTCAAAACACATGTTTACATCAACATAGTCAGTCTGTATGTTTACATCAACATAGTGTGTGTCTAAACACATGTTTACATCAACATAGTCAGTCTGTGTTATGTGTCTAAACACATGTTTACATCAACATAGTCAGTCTGTAGTATGTGTCTAAACACATGTTTACATCAACATAGTCAGTCTGTGGTATGTGTCTAAACACATGTTTACATCAACATAGTCAGTCTGTGGTATGTGTCTAAACACATGTTTACATCAACATAGTCAGTCTGTAGTATGTGTCTAAACACATGTTTACATCAACATAGTCAGTCTGTAGTATGTGTCTAAACACATGTTTACATCAACATTGTCAGTCTGTAGTAGTCTGTAGTATTGTGTCTAACACAGTCTGTGGTATGTGTCTAAAACACATGTTTACATCAACATGTTTACATCAACATAGTCAGTCTGTGGTATGTATCTAAACACATGTTTACATCATAGTCATAGTCAGTCTCTGTATCAGTCAGTCTGTATGTGTCTAAACACATGTTTACATCAACATCAGTCAGTCTGTTTACATCAACAGTATGTGTCTAAACACATGTTTACATCAACATAGTCAGTCTGTAGTATGTGTCTAAACACATGTTTACATCAACATAGTCAGTCTGTGGTATGTATCTAAACACATGTTTACATCAACATAGTCAGTCTGTGTTATGTGTCTAAACATATGTTTACATCAACATTGTCAGTCTGTGGTATGTATCTAAACACATGTTTACATCCACATAGTCAGTCTCTGGTATGTGTCTTAACACATGTGTACTTCCACATAGTCTGTAGTGTTTATGCATACGCACGTATATCTACATACTCGATCTCTAGCAATCATGAATATGTCTATACACAGGTCTTTCACCATGTTCTGCCCCTAAGAATATTATAGAATGACCTATAAGAGCCTTATTCCAGAACCATCGGCCTAAGACAGGTATACAAGGGGAGACGGTTATTGAATCTTATCTCACATAACATCTTAATGTATAAGCAGGCCAACACAGTGTGCGATCACTATCTACCCTGGGATATTCGTCCCGGTTAACAATTTAGTTTTTTTAAGGGAATCAACTCGTGACAATCCACATGGTCAAACCTTCTTTAAGTGTCTGTATCCAAGTTGAGTAACATCACTTAACAGGGCATGCCACCGGCATACTAAAGTGGTTACCAGGCATACTGAAGTGGTTACCGGCATACTAAAGTGGTTACCGGCATACTAAAGTGGTTACCGGCATACTGAAGTGGTTACCGGCATACTAAAGTGGTTACCAGCATACTAAAGTGGTTACCGGCATACTAAAGTGGTTACCGGCATACTGAAGTGGTTACCGGCATACTAAAGTGGTTACCGGCATACTGAAGTGGTTACCGGCATACTAAAGTGGTTACAGCATACTTAAGTGGTTACCGGCATACTAAAGTGGTTACCGGCATACTAAAGTGGTTACCGGCATACTAAAGTGGTTACCGGCATACTAAAGTGGTTACCAGCATACTAAAGTGGTTACCGGCAGTGGTTGCAAAGTGGTTACCGGGCTGAAGTGGTTACCTAAGTGGTTACCGGCATACTGAAGTGGTTACCGGCATACTAAAGTGGTTACCGGCATACTAAAGTGGTTACCAGCATACTGAAGTGGTTACCGGCATACTGAAGTGGTTACCGGCATACTGAAGTGGTTACCGGCATACTAAAGTGGTTACCGGCATAAGTGGTTACCGGCATACTAAAGTGGTTACCGGCATACTGAAGTGGTTACCGGCATACTAAAGTGGTTACCAGCATACTAAGTGTAGTTGGCACCCTGCGTAAAGCCTCGCGACATCCGAAGGTCCCTGAGACACAACAGTAATTGTAAGTTACCTGGCATAGTGAAGACAACTTCATCCATGGTCGTTAGGCTAACTGATTGTGGGTCATCGTTCCACGATGTCATGGGTCGCTGTTCATGCTGTCAGCCACTGGTTTGTTCGGTCCAGACTCGATCATTCAACATGTCTGCATTATAGCCGGAAGACTGCTGACAACAGCGGTAAACTACAATCAATATATAATTCTATCGCATCATCAAGGAAAATTCCGTATATCAGCCATCATCACGTTTGCAGTATTTAGATTATATATTTCGTATCCTCGGAGATCAGCAAACTTATTACAGTTGTATTTTCTAACACGATTGTCTGAATTCTTGTAACTTTATATGTGTGCCATAAAGGCCGTGGCGCTGTCTTGTAGTAACGTTCGTGTCGAGATCAAAAGATTTTTGTTCCTTTAAGGTTTGCAGTGATAGGAACATTCCGTCTATCGACGAATTCCTTGCGCACCTGTTAACTTCCGGTTCAGGGCGATACGTGCAGACGCTCTTTCCGTTGTTGAATCATCGCATGGCCTACTTTTCTTTACGAGTAGTTTCATCTTTCCTGTTACCTTTTGTGGTATGAATATGATATTGATCAATGCGGGTTGGCCGGTATGCATCCGTTACATATATAGCCAAAGGAAACGCAGTACTGACACTTAATGCTGAGAAACTTGGCCTATTTTGTAGATTCGTGTTCGCACTAATCGCAGTGGTCTGCATGTGGATATAAGTTTAGGCGTCTAGACGGTGCTTCAGCTCAGGACTAGTGATATGAACGCATTAGGTGTATGAATGTAATCAGAGAGTCTATAAATAATGGACACCGAATATAGAATACATTGTATACAAATGCATAAAACGACATTATTCTCTATAATAACTTCTCAACTCAATGTTTGTTGAATTTAAAAAAAATTGTTTATATATCCAAACTAGTGAAAACACTTCTTGTATAACCACCCTGCACAATTTCTGACAAGCTTCCCAAACAATCTGTTCTTAATATGTTCATCATATCATGCCTGAAAATTTACATCAAAATCCTTATTTTCTTGTGTTCCAATCCTGTCTGTGGAGAAGGGGTATATAACTGCCTACACACACTGATTAACGACTGTACAGTATACTGTATACATGTACATGTAGTTCAAGGACATTTGAACTAAGTCTGTCCTCTACCACATTTTGCCTGAAAACAAATACAACTGTATGATCTTATTAAATGCTCCAGTTTGTTGTCAATTTACCAAGTACCAATTTTATGATACTTCTACCGAGTATTCTAAATTGAAAATTCACACAAAACTATATATTATTGTCAGTATAAAACCCTATTAGATGTAGAAAAATACTTAAATTGTAACATTTGTTTAAATTTGAGGTCTGCCCTTTCAAAATTCAGATGTGGAAATGTTAATTTAGCAATAGAGACTGGGAGATATGAAAATATTGCTTCTAATGAAAGATTTGGTTTATTTTGTAAATCAAAAGGTATTAATGTTGTTGAAGATGTGTTACATATTTTGTATATCTGTGAATGTTTTCTGATGTTCGAGATAAATATATTGTGAAATATTTTAGTCAACCTCCTACAAAAAAACAACTTAAATATTATGCAATCTACCAATGTTGATGTGATTAAGAATGTAAGTCTATTTTTATATAATGTACAAATTAAAATTAAGAGCAGAGCTTGTTTATAACTCTATGTGTATGTGATTTATGTGATGTGTCACCATGCATCTGTCTGTATTATGGGCCAGTGGCCTTTTACTGAATAAAACTGTCTGTCTGTCTATTCTAAACATTGTAGTGTATAAATAGGATCATAAGGCAAGAGCTGAGTCATTTTACCAGAATATTTGATGGATATATGCTTTGTTCTTCAGATGCTGACCAGATGACAACCATGAATAATGAATCACCATTTTCTGGCTTGAAGATTGACAACTATCACAGGCTAGATGAGGTGGAAGGACGCACAACATGTGAAAAATGTAACAAATCTCGGAAATACTTCTGCTACTCTTGTTACTGTCCTGTCTTAGGGCTAGAAGAACTGACTCCCAGAGTTAAGGTATGGTATCATGGATTCAGCTGTATTCATTTTTGCACAATGTTGTTTAAAGTAACTGTCACACTTACAAATACTTGCCTGAAAAAAATGATAATATTGTGATAATTCATATGGATATCAGTAATGATTTAATTCATTGACACTGACTGTTTTTTTGTTTTGCTGGATAGACCAGGATCTGATTCACTTTTAATGCATATTGTTTTCAATGAATGGCATATGTATCTATCACTTCAAAGTTGCTGTATGTCTATAATTTGGAATGACAGGAGACCAGGTTTAGTTAAGTTTACATTTAATGGAGTATTTATCAGCAGAATTTCTGTTTGCTTGTATTTTAAGTTGAAACTTTGTCAATAATCCTCAACAAGTGAATGGGTCCTTCTTCAACTGGTACAATTTACTTACTTAATTGTTTGTTCTGTGCTGCCATGAAATCATATGAAGATAGCTACTATGATCATTATCTTTGAGAACATGATCATGATTTTATCAAAATTTCCAGTCTTTCAATAGCGTTTCAGTGCTGTTTCACATATATCATCATGTGTAGTTTCATTTCATTCAGCTGCCATTAAAAGTTGATGTGATTAAACATCCCTATGAAAGAGATGGCAAGAGCACAGCATGTCATGCGGCAGTTATCTCCCCTGATGTCAGCATCCATGTCTTCCCAGTTATACCAGACTTGGACAAGAACAGAGTAAGGAACCTTCATGCAGTCACAGAGCATACACCAGAGTCATTCTACTTAGTGTGATAAGTCTCAGAATCTACTACTGTACTAAGTGGCAACTGTGGAGAGCCTCTGTGTAGTTTAGTAATTCTGTAATGAAGAAACACTCGAATCTGTAGATTCCGGACGTAGAAGGGCTCATTGATTCTACCTCTGGAGTCAACAGATTCTAGTGATTTCTCCAACTGTAGAATTTTGTAAAAACATGGAGAGTTGCACCAGTTTTACCTGTGAAAAATGCATTTTCAAAATGGCCTCAGAATTAACTCAACAACAGTAGTGTGGTGCCATCATTATAGTTCAATAACTTCAGATTGACTAAAATATAGACAACATCAGTAAGCCAAGTTAGTGTGTTGTGTGTGTTGAATGCCTGGATTGGCAGTTGGCTTGGGGTACCCTTATTCTACACATGATATTATGGGCAGTCGTACCAGCCTTAAGAACACCACAAGTCCATGGATTCGTAAACAATTTAATCTTTAGACTCCCATCAGTAATTCTGTGTGTTAAGTATTTATCATTTGTGCTTTTGCATTGTAATATAATCCAGAAAATCTTAGAATATTGTCTAAAACATTTGCATCCTTAGGTTCATACAAAAGTTCTACTTTCAGTCAAAGCCATTATGTCAATCTTTGATATGTTGGACGTACGGTTGTTTTAAATTATAAACTTGGTCCTTGTGTATTCCTAATTGAGTCATTATGTTATGGCTCTCTGGAACCTTTGGTAACTAAAAGTTCTTACATAGGAGCTATCACCTTTTGGCAAAGCAGTGTTTTGACTGTATTTGTCATGTATTTTCCACACACATTATGATTGATTCACCCCCCAGGTACATAATCTGTATCTATCTGACAGACACTACTTGTGTTTCCTGGTGAGGATGCCGTCCAGCTGAAAGACTTGGCTGCCTTGTCTCATCAGACCTCGCTGACAGACCCTGTTACAGGTAAGAGACAATGAGAGACAATCAATCCCTTTCGAGAGCCATATTGATGGGTGGTGTAAGTAAGGGCTTGACCAGTAGTCAGACATTCTACTAAGGTCTGGATATGTACCGGAAAACTCCCAAAATTTCAGCCAGACCACAGGGCTGGTTAGATGTAAAACTTGTCAGCCCAGACCAATACTTACCTGCCTACAAAAAATACTAATTTACTTAGTATAATTAAATTAAAACTTGTAAAATATTGAAAAACCTAATACTAACTTGTTATACATGTCTAAATGTTAACCGGACCGTCAGGCAGGTGAATTTGAGAATCTGGCAGTCCGCGTTGAAAATAACCCGTCCCGGGCATTCAGGCTGGCAGGTATTTCGAACGCTGCTTAGGCCCATCTTAATCACATAAAGAACAGGCATTGAAAGTGTGTGACAACTGTTCTGTAAGTCATATATGAAGAAGTAAATCCTTTAAAGGTTTAGTGCTGCATGGCAGGTCACTATTCATATGTATAACTCTCACTGTGACAGGGTGGTGGGGTAGCCTAGTGGTTAAAGCTTCCACTCGTCACGCTGAAGACTTGGGTTCAATTCCCCACATGGGTACAATGTGCGAAGCCCATTTCTGGTCTACACTGCCAGGATATTCCTGGAGTATTGCTAAAAGCGGCGTAAAACCATACTCACTCACTGTGACAAGCGTCAAGAGTAAACTGTTCAGAGCACCAAAATTCAAGCTTTCTGTTGTCCCTTTAACTTTGTGTGTGTGTGTCTATGTGTGTGTAAGAAGTGCTTCTGTTTTTGCCTACCCTGTACATGGTAGAAAATTACTTATTAGTTCTATCTGGCCATTCCAATCACTTCATACATATTTGTGACAAGTACTAGACAAAAGTGGTGGCACAGGGTGCAGAACAAGGGAGGTAACTCCTCTCACCTTCAGTGCATTTGTAACATTAGATATTATATGATTGTGTATATTTGTTACAGTGCCCAGATATCTGTGTATTTCATTCTTTGGAAATTTCGTCTTCAGACAAACGTGAAACAGAAGAAAGCACCAAATGTGACAATACTCACCCTCCAGATTCCTTGGATATAAAAGACAGATTATGCTCAAGTGATAACTTTCATCCCAGTCATGCAAATGGAGCTGATACCATAGTTCCTCCTAACAACAGTCCACCGAACAACAGTCCACCAAGGAACCAGTTATCATCTGAAGATGTGGGCAAGGCTACTTGTGATGGCCTGGAGAAGAAGGCCCAGGCAGCTTCACCTCCACCATTTGATCGTGTGGTGTTCATCGACTCCACATGGAACCAAACTTACAGAATCTCACAGGATGAGAGGTTAAAAGGTAGGACACTTTAGTCTTTGTAGTTGGACAATGTTAACAATCAAGTGTCTAAACAATGTGTTAAACTGATGGCAGTGGCAGCATTGCTTTATCATCCAAAACTGTGTTCCACAGGAGATATCGCTTGTGTGAGATCAAACGATATCTCCTAGGAGATATCATTTTGACAGTAGATTTTGTACAATATCCTGACAATGCTATGACGTCATGAGCATGATGACGTCACAATGCTATGACATCGCTGCACTGCAAGTCTAATGGCAGAACGGTGGTCAGAGATGTACTTTTTTCAATGAAAACTAATGAAGAGTGATTTTTGATGAGAAATAGAATCTCACCCTCGTGTCTTCTGATATCAAATATATCAACCACTCGTTGATAAAAGTAAAAAAAATTTGTAACTTTATCAACTCGTGGTGATATATTTGATATCAAAAGACACTCTGGTGAGATTCTCTATATACCTCTACAGGATTATATGGGTTCAGTGCCTGAACATGACTAGTTACACATGGGTCCGTTATTGTGAGCATGTGACTCGCCTATGAAACCTGATCTACCCAGGATAGAGAGTATTACCACTCAGTGTTTGCAATACTTTAATTTGTAGTTGGCCATCAGGGCCTGCTGTCGCCTGCAGGCTGTAAAATCTACAGGCCCTGAATGAAATCTGCAGGCCCATCTGCAGTCAAACCAATGAAAACAAAACAGACTACACTGTACAAAGTTTCATGCTGTTTCTATAAAATCAATTAGGGAAGCGCAGAGAGAAGTTTGTATTTGTTAAAGACTGGTGTTGATATTCCTATGCGCAAAGCGCGGAAATACCAGGCAGTGAAAGTTTAAGTTATCACAACATGATGGATCATGGATGACCCCCGAACGTTAATAAAAAAAAATATGGGAAAGATTTCAGTTGAAAAAAAAATGACGTATAATTTACTGAAGGCCATAAGGGCCTGCAAATATTTGAAACTGCCGGCCCGATACAATAACAACCGGCGCTGGGCCTCCGGGCCGGTGATTCTTTCGAACGCTGTTACCACTGGTACACATAACTATCACTGATACACAAGACATCTCACTGCTGATACATCATACAGCACCAGCTGCCTCATACTGGGACTAACTGAACAAGGGGGGTAACTCCTCTGACCTTAAGCTCATAGTCATAGACGTCAGTGGTAGTCAGACTTTGTATGCCTCTGTTTAATTTTCACAAGCCATAATGAGAAGTGAGTTTGGTTTTACACTGCTTTTAGCAATATTCCAGCAATATCAGAACGTCAGAAATGGGCTTCACACATCGTAGTCATGTGGGGAATCAAACCTGGGTCTTCAGCGTGATGAGTGAATGCTTTAACCACTAGGCTACCCCATCATGCCCCATAATGGAAAGAATGTGAAAAGAGGCTAACAAGCAGGCACTTATTTCACCATGTTCACACATTGTACAGTTCTGATACTTGATACATGTTCCCAATTACAGGTTTACAGAAAGTGGAGCTGCAGTCTCGGACGACCAATTTCTGGCGAAATCACCAAGGTAACCCCGAGACCTACCTCTCCACAATAGAGGCCATTTACTACTTCATGTGTGACTACCATGAACTGTTCCTCTCGACAACATATGAAGGACAGTATGACAACCTCCTCTTTTTCTTTGCATGCCTTCATGAAAAAGTAAACAGTGCCAAATGCAGGAAGAAAATAAAAACTACACCATGTTAAATGAACTTTGCATGATGTTATTGTTTTTCATATTTTTGACAAGTTGATAATTGTGTATGATCAAGTTACCATTTGACATACAGGTAGTTCTAGCTACCACAGGTGTTAATAGTAAGTAAAGTTAATATACCCACGTTCAAAAGTGTGAAGGTCATTACCTCTACAGTTTTGTCTATGGACTTTTGTATTGAGAAAGGTGGAGATAGCTGTGTTATGCCCCACTTCATGCAAATAAAAAGCAAGTAAATCTTATTTAATTGTGTACAAATATAATGTGAAGATAAGTGAAAGTGCCATTTGTGTGGTGTTTGTGAGACGTACTGGTAATGTCACCAGTCTTACTGTCCAGTACTGTATTGGCAGCTGCAGGGGATACTACTTGTGTCAGGTCAGATGACACCATGGATGCAGGGAGATCTTACTCTCATGATATGCAGTCTCATGTTAAAATGTTCCAGATATAACAAGTAATTCTGTTCTAGCCTACCCTGAACTTCAGTTTATATTTCCATTCATTTGTTTACAACAGCCTGATGAATATTGTTACGTGGGTAAGAATACCACGTTATTTGGTTTAAGAGGATGTGATTAAGTGTAAGACACTTTCTAAACCAGTCACATCCTAGGGTAGTGTTGTTACATTGTCTCATTTCAGCTGAAGGAAATAACCACATCTGCAGACTGGTGGAAACAATAAACACTTAGTCTTATATAGTTAAGCTGTGTTTTAAAATTTATGAAGAAGTATTAACAAACTTCTCAAAGATATTTGAATGTTTCGTCAGGCTGTAAATGTTGTGGTTGTGAAGTAAAGAGGTGCATTTTGATGTTATCTATGGTCAGTTCAGCCTGTCCTGCAAACTATAGTCTTACAGTATTTCTGGAGGATATACATGGAGGTTTGTCTGATTTTCTGCTCATACTCTACCCCTGTATTTAACCTACAATATGAAAACACAAATTATGGTCTTTTTGGAAATTTTTGAAGGCAGCATGTAATCAAAGCATTACAGGTTTGACGTTGACAAAAGTAAGCCATATAAATGCTGGTACCACTAGTCTTATGATAGAAGAAAATGCGAGTGAAAAATGTTAGGTTTCACCTCTTAAAACACCAGTGAAGATCTGGGTTAGAATTATTGGTCTTCAGCAACCCATGCTTATCATAACAGGCGACCAACAGGATCAGGTGGTCAGACTCGCTGAGTTGGTTGACATATGTCATTGTGTCCCAATTGAACAGATCAGTGTTCATGCTATTGATCCATGGATTGTTCCATTCGTATCTCTCGGTTACTTTGCCCCAAAGTATACAGAAAATAATAACAAGGTGCTCAGCACCAATATTAATTAACTCATAGTATAATATAGAAGTGTTGCAAACCATGTGCGTGAAAAAACTACTCAAGAATTATGTCTCCTAATAAAGATAAGCATCTGAACTCTTGTCTGCTCTGGTTCATTTGATGAGTGGGTACAATAAGAGCAGGCCCGTCCTTATGTGCCAGACCCGTGAAGGTTCGGGTTAGAATGTTGATCTTCAGTAACCCATGCTTATCATAAGAGGCAATTAAGGGTATCGCATATCGATGCTCATGCTGTTGATCACTGGATTGTCTGGTCCAGACTCGATTATTTACAGACCGCCCCCATATAGCTGGAATATTGCCGAGTGCGGTGTAAAACTAAACTAACTCACTCACTCCTTTGGTGCCAGGCCACCAGTATGCTGTAATACAGTTGTATTATAGGTCAAATCAGTGTAACTCCATACTCTCTCGCTTGTCTGTATTCAGAATGTATTGACAGGACTGATTTCTGAACATATCCTGAGGAATGAATTTTATGAATTGACAAAACTTCAGTTTTCACCATAATTATAAAAGTAATCAATTATTCATAATGATCAATACCTAATAAATGTTCATACCAAACTGAAAGTGTTCAACTACTAAGACCAACTGAATACATGTATATATTCCTTAGTCCGATCAAATATATGTTGATATATCCTTGTTTGTGTCTGCCTTCCGAGAACAGAGAATCTTGTGAAAAGAGAATTTCAAAGAACAGGAATACTAGTAACCAGGAAGACACATCAAAGATAAATTTCATATTTTCTGAGAATCTGGCAAGATGTATCACATCTTCGTTATTTTGGATATTTTCTTCCTGGTAGCATCACCAACAATACTATATACAGTCTTAGCCAGCAACTAATCATTAGGCAAATGTTTTGCAACCAATCAGTTCAGATATTGAAGGCCATACCACACTTGCTGCCAGACATCAAGTTACATGAAATTGTATTTGAAAATCGATGAACATTATTTGCACAAGTAACAATTACTAAACGTTTTATAAATCAAGGCTCGTCACGATATGAATGAAATATTGCCCTTGTGACGTAACATTTTATCTTGACTAACTCCCCTATTATAAATCTAGTTTCTAAACTTAACATCATGGGGACGAACACTGCAACGGTTACCTCCCTTCCACCAGGAATGCGTACTGTGGGCTTCAATGTCACAACGATCAGCAAGCGACGGAAGGACAAGTCTCATCAGGTCGGGTGTTTCGTAACTGACCTGAAATCGCTCCCGTTATGCGGATTTAAATTTTGCAATAATTCAAGGACTGTCCCCTCCTGTTGCCACATGAAATGCAAGGGTCGTGGTTTTTCAATGTTTGATTTAGGTTTTTAGGTTTTATTATACAGTGCCTGGTGTCATAGCTCATATTGCGAATATAGTGACCTAATTTCATTCGAGATCTTCAATCGTCGGGCAGATTATTTGCAGTTGCGCAACACAAATATTAATTCATGTTAATGCACACATTTTTTATAGTATTATATGATAATGCAAATACAAATATGTTCACGTGATTCTACAAGTGCAGTTAAAACATGGTCTCAATCATGATACTCGAGGTCGACATGGTCAAATTTCTATCACAGTTCTACAACTGATATATGTTTTGAAATTAAATATGCATACAGTATTTCAGGCAGTAATCATCTGATAAATCGTCACGAATTGTTTAAGTTTTATTTCACAGGTAATGACCTACAGGTGTCGGAATGGGAGTTTACCGTTAGGTGTATGTTTTGTACCCTGTAACCACAGTAATATTCGTGACGACCCAAATCAGTAAAGTGCACCTGTGAAGCAGCAACAATCAAATGAGTAAAGTACACCTGTGGAGCCGTAGCAATTAATATTAATCAGTATTAAAGTGCATTTGACAACTGCTGTGGTGGCCCCACAGTGATTGAGCCAGCGTATTGCTTAACGTTCAACGTAGCGTAAAGCTATACTCTCTCGCACACTGATCATACAACCCATATTCACATATAGTGTAGCCACCTCCACTAGTTTAATTGATTAAAAGTGTAATCTCTGATACCTCTCCTTGATTGGTCAATAAGGGGTACAGGCAAGTAGTCCCGGGCTACGGGATATCCAACTACATGTACTAACAACTGCGCCATTTCCACGCGTTAGCAAGATCAGACCGGCTCACCACAATGCGTTGGACAACCGATAAATATACTGCGCATATTGCCACAAGTCGCGTGTGCAGCACTCGATAACAAAGCTGGCTTGATTCACGGTCATAGTGGCTTACCCATTGTCTCCCGACCCACCAGTTTTAGCAGATCGATAAGTATAGACTTGCAAATCCCGTAATGCGTAAATATTGACGAAAGGTGTGACGCAGTTTACTGGGCTGATGATCTTGTGAGTGATAATGACGACTTTTGGATTTCAAAAGGCAAACGCAAGATATCTGGATGCTGCGTGGATGTAAAGAACCACTTCAGCATCTCTGAAGCAACAACTCATTAAGTGTTGCACTGTTTACGTGAATTCATCTTTTAGATTCACAACATGTATACGCGTTTAGATTATACAGACCCGTGCCAGTTATATTCGGACGCTTGACGTAACTTCCATAGACTTACATGTTAATCTAGTGTAGCATAAATAATTTTCATGAATTTTAATTTTCGTATGATCCAAGTCAAATTTTGCACATTTGTGAGGAATCACCTCACCTACAATCACATAATTTCTGTTTAATTTTCCGTTGCTCATTTATCGAATGGCAACAATTTAATCAACATATGTAAAGTGCCGTGAACTCCTTTAACATTGCGGCCTATGGGATTGTGCATTGACATCATAAGCTTCGATCTGCACAACTGGGATACGATGACATGCAACTAAAACACCTGTTATTTACAATTTTCAATGTTTAACCAATTGCTTTAGACATAAACAAGACAACCACATCAGACTGTAAAGACAACGGCGTGTACATCCCTCTCAGTATGTCTAAAGACAGATGAAGCAAACCAATTAACACGTAATCACGGGAGACAACGCAAGAGGAATACTTGACTGATCTTACAAGATCAATTTTTGCATCAAGTACACGCCGAATTTCACCTCACGCTTTTGTGTGTGCTTGATGTCATTTAGACATACATTAAATGTTGATACAAATTTGATGTTTGGTATTATGATCTGTATCAAACACGCAGGCGAGTACCGGGATGTCTTGTGTAACTGGATCTGTTGACAAGGACCCGGACTCACGGGTCAGAAATGAGTCGGACTCTCGAGCTGGTACAGGGAAATAGTTCGGCGACTCATTGTTTCAGTGTTTGCGTGTTTTCCTCTAAGTGTGTTTTTGTTGTACAGGATTTAGAAGAACAGTGCAACTAGATCCGATACTCTAAATCACCAAGGACGAATTTCTACACACTGCACACACGTTATGACGTCACAATGCTACAAATATATTTACATCGGGAAAAGACACGAATCGGGATATGTTTTCGGTAGTAAGTGATGTCTGAAACAGCATCAGCAGTATTCCTAGGACAGATTTTTTTCTCCCTTTGTTCTCATGATTATTTGCATCCGGGTAACCTTAGGCTACCCGGATGGGCTGTTTCCCAAACTATAGTAATTCCGGGTGAGAATGGGGATTG